TTTCATAAACTTGTCAAAATTAAAAACATGTCCCAAGATTTAAAAAAAAAAAACGATTAGTTTTTAAATTAGACTTCATTTTGAAGATTTTCTTCTTCGTTTATGGAATAAAATGAGCAAAAATAGGCCACATGGGATGTTGTCATTGTTCAAACCTGCATTTTGACAGGTAATATAAATCCATAATTATACCCAGATGATGAAATTGTGCAAGTGTAAACTTATATCTCAATGCAGAAATGCCCCTGAGGTACTGTGAGTTGTGTTGAACTAAATCAGTTCAGCTGCGCTGACCTTTATTATTTTGTCAGCATGCGTTTGAATTTACATATTAATACACCCTCATATGCAAGTCTAGATGAAGATCCGGTGGGCTTTGCAACCTGCGTAGATCGAGCTGACAAGTTACGGCATCGGTTCCCATAGTAACCAACGTGTTCTCCGCCATGTACGAACGTCATTTATTCCCCATGGGGAGAGTCTGTCTTTCTCTCCTCTTAAATAGTTACATTGTGCCTGTGTTGACTAACACGGATGAATGCGTACACTCATTACAAAGAACTTCAAACTTGATAACCGTCCAACCTGTTTCTAATAAAACCCCCATGGATGTGGCCTGACCAACGCTTGTTCTTGACGTAGTTAATATGAAGAGATGAACAATGCAAGTATTTTTATATTATCTAAAATTAGGGTGAGCTGTGTTAATGGAGGTGCTTGTGCTAGTAGTCATTGTGTAAAAGTGTGTGACTGTCGGATGGTTTAAATGAATCTTTTGTGACAAAGGCATTTCAAATTTGGTGTTTTGATGACATCACGGTCTCCTTGACTCCAGTGTTTTGAGGATGTCAGACTCAGTCAGTCAACCTCACAGTTCCAGCGTAGAGAGGAAGTGAGTGCACGGAATCTTGATCAGTTCCTCCAGTGTTCTGGAATCTTAAGAATGTCCTCTGTTCCGACTTGTACATTCACCACTATTAACACTCACGGTCTGTTGAGACGTCTGGCATCCCAGACATCCCAATGATGTTAAAATAATAGTAGTAATTTCCAAATTAACCTTTAATTTCCCCTTCAGAATCTTTTAGAATGCTCCTCTGACCTCATGAAAACCCGTTCGACAGCTGTTATTGAAGCTTCACGCTTCTGTTGTATCACAATGTACTTCTGGGAGGTGCACAAGGCAAACATATTGACCTGATGAGTTTTCCATAAAGCTCCATAAATCTTCACTGTAAAAATGTTACTAATTTTAAAGTATGAGGCATACAACTGCTACAATAAAACCTTTAAGTTAGCTTCCTAAATATAGCACAAAAAACTTTAAATTAAATATAAAGTAAATATAAGCTAAAAGAAGGCTATTAATTTGCCTTATTTTTTATTATGGGTAATATAGGCTACATAAACAAATATTTACAATAAAATATATATTAGTGTGTTATTTTTAATTATGATTTTTTTTTTTGTGTTCTTTTTAAGAAAAGAGTATGTAGACATGGGTTTAGATTTTATTTAAATACACTGAAAATATATATTTTTAAATGTTTTTGAAGTTTTTATGCTCACCAAGGCTGCATTTATTTGATCATAATATATAGTAAAGAAATAGAAAAGCATAGGAAAACAGTAAAGCTTACGTAATATTGGGAAATATTATTACAATTTGAAATAACTGTTTTCTTTTTTACTTAAATTTTACAATGTAATTTATTCCTGTGATGCAAAGCTGAATTTTCAGCATAATTTTCATGTCACATGATCCTTCAGAAATCATTCTAATGTGCTGATTTGCTGCTCAAGAAACATTTCTGATTATTATTAATGTTGAAAATAGTTGTGCTGCTTAATATTTTTGTGGAAACTGTACTTTTTTCAGAATTCCTTAATGAATAGAGAGTTCAAAAGAACAGCATTTATTTGAAATAGTCTTTTGTAACATTAATGTCTTTTGATCAATGTAATGCATTCTTGCTGAGTAAAACTATTAATTTTTTTTTTTTTATAAATACTGAGATTACTTACTGATCCCAAAACTTTTAAAATGGTAGTGTAGTTAAAGAAATTCTTCTTAATTTAGTAATCATCTAGCCTATTCATTTATGTTGTTTAATTAATATAATAATGTGTGTGGATCACATTGTGCACAGTGTCTATCTATCTATTAATTACAGGAACGTAATTCAGAAGTAGTTGTAAGTAGTTAGTAATATATGTAGTTCAATTTTCCATATTTTTTGTATGTCATTATGTCAGGATCAGTATTTGCTTTCTACCATGCACAAATAAAAATTTCACTGAACTTTTGCTGTGTAATTGTAACAATAAGCACTCAAACACACCAAACCAACAATTACTAAAAACACAAACAAAAACTGATTTTGAACGGGCATATCTGTTATTCGCATATCTCTCGAACCATTAGTCCGATGAATTTCAAACTTGACAAGTGTCTTGCTACGGGCATGTGCCAAGTTTGACGTTGTTTGGTTAGAAATGCAAAAGATATCGTTAAATATATTGGTAAAAGAAGCACACATTGGCTTTTGCCGCTCTAGTCGCTGGCCACTCTGGCTCACATTTAAATTGAAAATGTTTTCCTTTATTTTCTAATCTTTTCAATGATAGTGCACTAGATTGGGAGTACACTAGATAGGGAGTACACTAGATAGTGTACAGTAGATATGCACTAGATAGTGTACACTAGATTTAGATATGGTAAGTACACTAGATAGTTAGTACACTAGATAGTGTACACTAGATTTAGAGATAGAAAGTACACTAGATAGTGTACACTAGATTTAGAGATAGTAAGTACACTAGATAGTGTACACAAGAGAGCACTAGATAGGGAGTGCACTAGATAGCAAGTACACTAGATAGTAAGTACACTATACTGTACACTAGATTTAGAGATAGTAAGTACACTTGATAGTAAGTGCACTAGATAGTAAGTGCACTAGATAGTGTACATGAGATAGAGGACTAGATAGGGAGTACACTAGATAGGGAGTACACTAGATAGTGAAGTACACTAGATAGTGAAGTACACTAGATAGTGTACACTAGATTTAGAGATAGTAAGTACACTAGATCGTAAGTACACTAGATAGTGAAGTACTCTAGATAGTGAAGTACACTAGATAGTGTACACTAGATTTAGAGATAGTAAGTACACTAGATAGTAAGTACACTAGATAGGGAGTACACTAGATAGTAGCCTATTCACCAACTGTTTGCTCAAGCGTAGCGTTTTATCAGAGTTCACTGTGTAGCTGCTCCAGCCAAGGTCTGAACCTCCCCTGAATCGTTGCACTTATTCATTTGTGGATGTTAAAGCTCCAGTAGGGAGTTTTGAGAAAACGTTGACTTAGCCTGAAAATTTGAACAAGCACAACTTACAGGTCCCACCCCCTTGCTCTCTGCTGCGCTACAGCCCTCCCTCCACAGCTCGTCCACCACAGCGGAGCCCGTCGTGAACGCGCAGGCTAGTAAACAGGGCCACCCATAACAGCGGATAAAAAGTTATATGGCACATTCACTAATAGGGACTAAACGTCAACAATATGCTTTACATTGACTAAGGCCTGCCCATACTTTGACTACAAACTTGGTCCTCAAATCATTATGTATTTTGCAATAGCCTACATGTAACTTTATAACGTTGCACTCTTTCTATAAGTTATAAATAGCTAGTAAGATAACGTTAATATAACGGTAACTAACGTTACAGTATGTAAGTAATTATTCTAGCGATATATAATGCTAGATAAGGTGTGCTAGTACATTATTTCAGCAACATGACAAGCCAGTGAATTAGCAGGTTTCAATTGTTGCTTAGCAGAGTGCGTGACATTTTATCTACATGTTATGCGGCTAGAGTTTTGACACCGAGTCAATGGGCTCTGTCTAATTCTTTCTTTTTCGCTTGTTTATCGTCATCAGTCTTTTTCCTTTTACCTCTTTGTTTTATGAGCAGGTGTCACTCGAGAATTGGCAGTTTAGGTTGTTTCTCCGTCATGAGCACAGCTGCAGCACGTCGGCAATCTTGAGTTTGAACGACGGCTCGCGCTCCGGCGCTCAAAGAGAGGGGTGTGATCAGCGCGTACACGAGCGTGACTGACACTGCTAAGACACTCCTCCTGGCTCTGATTGGTTGTTTCTGACCGGGAGCGTGTATTTCTTGCAAATGGCAATAGGACCACTAGGAGGAGCCAGAGGAGCTTGATTTTTACACAGATTATCTGTCTCATATTCTACTGTCAGGACATAATGACAGTTTTAGCAAATACATTTTTTTTCAAAAGTTACCTACAGCAGCTTTAACTGAATCTGTAAGTCAGCTACACTGTTTAATTCTGAATATTATATTTTATTCTGGTGCGCTTAACGTTATCGTTTTCTCAGAGTTTAGGCTCCTGTGTAATAGTAGCATAGGCTATTCAGCAACTCAAACATACCAAACCAACATTACTAAAAACAGATTTTGCACGGGCAGTGCACTAGTGTTATTATTAACCCCAGATGTGGAGAGGCCAGTTCCAAGTCATTGTCCAGCCTTCCATTGTAGCATGTGTTACTATCAGTTAGTAACAATCAGGTTTTAATAGCTCATACAGTATAGGTTGGTATGGAAAAATGTGACTTTTTAATATCAAACTTGCAGCAGCATGTTTTTTCTATTGCAAGTCTAACAGAAACTATTTTCAATTCTTAAATTGCTCTCGTCATATGCCTGTATGCTCATTACAGACCTTGCAAGAATGTTCAGATTGCACAAGTGAGTCAGCTTATTTGCATATACTGGGACATTAAAGTGACCAAAATCTCACATAAATGAATGGAATGTCAGTCCAATCGAGTGATGTTGTTCCTTTCAGTCCCTTCACCTAATTATAGCCAGTTGCATAATAGTGTTCTTGAGACTTAAGAAACATTTCATATGGCCCTGCCTAGTCAACTCTCTCGCCCTCACTCACTCAAGTCCGGGTAAGCTGGAATGCATTGACGTCAGAGGAGGGAGAGAGCGCTCGAGCGCTAGAGCAGAAGTGAGCGCGAGCACTGCGGAGCGACGCGCGCACCACTACATGCCTCGTCCTGGTCGGACAGTGGGCATCATTTATTGATAAAAACAACAGCGAGCAGACGTGTGAAGATATTGGGAAGCGAATATTTTGTTTAGCCTCCAGAAATATACACAAGGGGAAGCTGAGAGTATTTCCAACGGATGCTCGTTTACATAGACGCATGAAACGCTGCCTACCACTTTATATGGTAAGTTATTATAGAAAACAAATGCGTTTTGTGTATTTAACTATTTGTTGAATTGAATGCTTGAAATCGCCCGTGAGGATTGCTATAGGCCTATGGGACATGCAGGGTTTAATTCCATTGAGTTTCATTTGAGATCATCGAGAGCCTGTCAGAGTGTAGGCTAATAGTTTGATGTTATTGTTTGTGTTATAGTTAATAATGATGATTTTAATTATCTGATGTACTATTGTTTTATTCGTGTCATTTTATGTAGTTGGCAGGTTATTAGCTAGGTGCTATTAAAAAGACTAAATTATTAAAGGTGACTTAGAGATGTGGTTTGCAGACAAACACTGCATTTCGGTTCCCTCTCTCTTCCTCGCACACACAGTATGGCAGTCACCCTATCCTCCAGTCCGCTCTTTGTTATCCTAGGCCTGGAGACATTCAGGGGCATCTAACAGAAGGACACACACAGGTAAGAGAATGAAAACAAGGCAAAGAGACAGAGAGAAGGACAGAGAAATTGAGGGTCTCATTGCTTTATATATAATATGTAATGAACAACATAATGCTCTGTGTAGGTTCAAAGTCAAAATGCATTCTTCCATAAGTTCAGGAATCCTGTGACAACGCATACTGATAAGATGCAAGAGAGATGCATTTAGGAGCAGTTATTATTGTTGAACTGACAGGTTTTGTGGCAATTAGACTGATGTCTATCTGATACAGTATATATGGTCTAGTGTGTTCTGCATCACTGTAGATACTTGAGTGTGAGTATATATAGCTTGCAGCCATAGTCCTAGACTCAGCAGTGTTTGTTTGTGCGCACGTACATGCATGTGTGTGAGCATATGTGCAAGTGTGTGTGCTGGCAAACTACCAAGTTTGTGGGTTTCACAGTGATTCTTTTGTGCCTCAGATTGAAATGGAGAAGATGTGTGCATGTGTGTGTCAAGTGTTATCACAGTAGTGTCCTAAGACACATCAGCTGCATCACAAGGCAGACCTGAGGGAATCGGGACAAGAGGGGAGTGCAGGTCACCTAGATCAAGTTTCGCCTACATCGTAGAAACCAAATTTCCTCAGACTGACTGATCGTGTCATGTTGCACAGCAGACTTGCGCTCAATGTTGACAGACTAACTTCTTGTCACTGGAAATATACATAGGAGACAATGTGGGTTCATTTTCAGGTTAAAGCCAAGTGGAAAGAAAGAGACAAGTAATAAAAGCTACCTCACTGTCTACATAGGCAGCTACCTTCTAAGATAGCGTCCTATATTAGTAATGCAACCTCATAAGTGATGAATTTGTAATGTTATACAGGTAAAGCATTTGATTTCAATTGAGTTTTCCATTAGCATGTTGCAGAACTAAACTTGTGATATTTTAACCATATCAACTCACATAAAGTGAGTTCTCTACACAAATTAAGCATGTAATTTTTTATAAATAATTCTCATAATTATATAATAATTATATTATATAAATAATTATTAATCAGTGGTAAAACACAAGGACTTAAAGGGATAGGTCACCCAAAATTGAAAATTCTGTCATCATTAAATGATTTAATTTTAACATTGATATTTACGCTTTCATTTCTACACGCTTGAATTGAGTACCAATAACGAATTTACTTCGTTTTTTTTTTAATTCTAGCTTGAACTAACTTTTTCATGTAAATTACATTGTTTTTTTCTGATATTTACTTAAACACAAAATCATTTTTAGCAGTATAGTTTACCCAAAAATGAAAATTCTGTCATCATTTAATCAGCCTTAAGTTGTTCTAAACCTGTATACATTCCTTTGTTCTGCTGAACACAAAGGAAGATATTTTGATGAATGTTGGTAACCAAACAGACCTCGGGCCCCATGGAAAAACATACTATGGTAGTCAATGGGGCCATCAACTCTTTGGTTACCAACATTCTTCAAAATATCTTCCTTTGTGTTCAGCAGAACAAAGAAATTTATACAGATTTGTAACAATTTGAGAGTGAGTAAACGATGACAGCTTTTTTTTTTTTTTTGAGTGAACTATCCCTGTAAAACACGTAGGCCTATGCGCAATGGTCAAATAAATTCGTACAGCGCATGTTTACATAGAAAACAATGAGAAAAGTAGTGTAGTGGAATGCAAAAGACATTCTGTGTGAAGGTATATTAAGTATATTTATAGAAGTTAACGAATCTCGTTTTGTCCGCCATCTTGGAACACATTGCAGTGCATTCTGGGATTGCATGCCTCCTGATTCGACGCTGCCTATGAATTTGGACTAAATTCTGTCACTTAGGAGGCAGATAGACCTCAAATTTTCCCTCAGTAGGCACTAGGCACCCAGACAGCAACATAGTGTCGGCCCAGATCCGGGCCACATCTGGTACATGTGGATTCCACAATTACTAGGTTTTGGAACACTGGGTGTACAATCACGAATATTTGCATAGATTATTTCATATTTGTACGCACAGGAGAACTTCTTTCGAAAAAAAAAAAAAATCTGCCTAATTCACAGCACATGCATATGCGCATGAATTTATTATTAACCTCATTCTATTGTTAATGAATTTGGAGTATTCTAAATGACGCACAAGGTTAATAGTTTGCATAAAACACGCCAAAACCATCTTCATATAAGGGCTTTTTTTCACACAACCTTTCCACCTTTCCTTATCCTTTACAGCCTTTCGTGCCTTTCAGCAAACATTTGACGCTCTCGAAAATTATCTACATACCAAACCATTTATTTTAACATGATTCTAAGGCCACCCAGAGTATGTGGTTCTTTTTTTTTTTTGGTTGAATTTTTTCCCGTAAATTGAGTAATTTTTAGTATTAAAGTTATTGATGTTTGTATGCTGATTTCACGCACAAATGTGTGTACACATACTTAGTGAATGAGACCAACAGTTGGAATATGTGCATGTTGGTTATGAATTTTACCGATATACCAGTGGTTTAAATGTTTTACTGTGTGTGTTTGAGTCTACACGTTAATGCACTTCACACAGCAGGCACGCAAGCTCCCACTGCAGCACGCTGACCTCATCACCATGAATATTACATGATGGGAACATGGGGCGATGAGATCATATCTAAAGGAAACCCCATTATATTCTCCCCAACTCTGCATCTCTTTCACATCTCTTCACTCCGCTCGTCCATAAGCCCTCCCTCCTTCAAAAGAGAAAGCGGGATGACTCATCCTTTCACACCTCTCCCCTGGTGCCTCCTGACAGCCCCACGTATGGGTTTGTGTGTTCCGTATCGGCGTACAAATGAGTCGGGGTCTGTTTTCCTTCTGACTCTCACGCAGCGGGTGACAAAAGACCCCAGCATCTCTCGTTCAGGCAGCGGACATTTTCTCGCAGAAACGCTGAGCTTGCTGAGCCTGCTTCCCTTCTCCTTGACGTGAGTTCCTCGTTTGCAGGAAGTCGAGGAAATGCCATGCCTGCGTGTGTTAGCAAGTGTGAGGCTTGTATAACTGTGAGAGTTGTCCCAAATTGCGGATGCTGGGTGTCTGCCTGAGCGCTATCAGGAGGAAGCACCATTTGTGCTCCCTGCTCCCTGTAGGAAACTGCCATGCTTTGTAAATTATAAAGCTGATTCTGAACATGGAAAGGGTGGACAGCCCTATATCCTTCCTCAATATGGAGGCCACTCAGTCTTTGTTACATCCTTGTGCTCTGTTTTTGCACTTTCATTTGTCATCTGGCTTTGTCAAAAGGCAACAAAACATCAAAGTTTTGCTCTCCGGTGTGTAAGAAGCAGGAAATTCTGAATAAAAATAATGATCTTGCAAACACTAAAACAGATCTGATTCTCTTCTGTTAAAGGAGTAGCTCACTTTTCATTTGGGGAACGCAAAATATAATTTTATGGAGAATGTTCACACTGCTCTTTTGCATACATTGAAAGTAAATGGAGATTGAATTCTCCCTTTTTTCTCACATATCATTGTAACCCGAATACAATGTGTATGAGGAGTGTAAATATTTGCATACTTGACATATTAATATATCATTACTGAATAATAACATTTTCATTTGTTAGAATTAGATTAGAAGTTTTAGTCATTTTATGTGCATTTGTAGTTTGTATTAGTTAACACAGGTGTCTTAGATGGGCATCATGGCATTAGTGTCCTTTTCAAACTCTATCATTGGTCATTAAATATTTAGTTCCTTTCATCAAACCACACACATACACACACACGCACACTAATAATGATATCGCATTACAGGTATTGATCTACACCATTTGTGCTACACCCCTGTCATCCGACTCCTCTGACGCCAAGTCCCAAAACACTTTTCTCCTTGCACTCCCCTCTTTTTCCATCTCTTTATATCCCCTCCATCAGGGCATATTATAAGTTTTATCTATAAGTTGTATCTGGGTTCCCTCAATTATTTCCCTGTGAGATTCATTTTAGAATTGTATTTTATATTTTATTGTAGTTAATTTTTTGTGTGTGCTGTTGTGTGTCTTTTTAGGGGTTGTTTGTTTTTGTGTTTTAGTTTTGTTTTGTTTATTTTATTTTAATTTGTTTGAGGTGCTGTGTGTCTTTTCCGGATGGTTATTTGTTGTGTTTTGGGTGTCTTTTGGGGGCAGTTGTTTGTTTTGTTTTGGTATTTGTTGTGTGTGTCTTTTTGAGACAGTTGTTTGTTTTATTTTATTTTTGTTTTATATTTCTTTTTGGGATTGTTGTTTTGGTTTTTGTTTGGGTCCACGTGTCTTTTTTTGGACGGTTGTTTTTGTTTTGTTTTATGTGTCTTTTCGGGACTTTGTTTGTTGTTGTTTTTTTGTTTTGTTTGGTTTTACTTAAGTCTTAACTAATCTCCCTTAAGTTTTCATGTACACCTAATGTTTGAAATAAGTTTTCTTAATCACATGTCTTGCAACTACGTGATACAATGATATTACAAAATATGTGTCTAATACCATAGGGGGGATGTCACAATCAATATCACCTCATATAGAATTGCACTATTGAATGGGTTTTGTCTTAGCATGCATTATGATGTTACCTCTAGGTATGGCTGAATTTGTAATAGACAGCCATATTCATGCTCGAACATGTCATTATTGTCACTCCCTATCAGTTTGATAATAGAGGAGTTCTCTGTTAAGTAACTGGGTGGATTTGTTTGAGTTCTTCGTAATAGTAACTACTGTTGCTAAGTAACTGCTGTACTACAAAATAGACTCTGTCTGGGGATAATAATTGTTTGCTTATGAGACAATTGGTTAATTAGTCAATTATTTTTTCTTCAAAATGTTTTAAGATCAGTTTCTGTGTAAGATCAGGCAAATACCAACAGTACTTCTCTTCTCTTGAGCATACAGTATATAAACCTGTTAGACGGCTTACCCTGTTCTCTCTCCACACACTCACCTTTCTCTGTGAACGTGAAAGTCAAGTGAATTTTGCCTCTATTTGCAGCACTGTCTATTTCAACACAAAGAGCACTACATCCCTGCACTTAAAGAGTCCTAAAAGGGTTTTCCAGTCTGATGCCACAGAAGAACCTTTTAAAGTTATGTGCAGCTGCTAGATGGGTCTAAATGGCTGTTGGCAGCTTGGCACATTGCGATGTGGTTCCTAGGATGTCATGGGTGGTTGCCAGGCTGTTGCTATGCTGTAGCTAAGGTGTTCTGATTGGTTGCTACTTTCTTGGATATTGGTTTAAAGAGTGTTATGATTGGCTTTTGGCATGATGCTATGGGGTTACCAGGGTGTTACTATGCGATGGCTCAAATTATGAATGGCTGCAAGGCTCTGTTGTTGCCAATGATTTGTGATTGGTTGATGACATGTTGCTACTTGATTGCTAGGATATTGAAGATGGTTTCTAAGGAGTTGCTGTATGATTACCAATACTGCTCTGGTTGCTAGGCTGGTACTAAGGTATTTTGAGTGGCTGTCGGCACGTTGCTTTGTTGTTGCTAGGGTTTTGCTATTAGGTTGCTAAAGTGAATGGTTCAAAGGCCATTGGGTTAGGGTTAGGGTTTAGCATGCTAGCATGTTCTGATTGGTTTATGGCATGTTGCTATGCAGTTGCTACAGTTCATTGGGTGGTTTCTAGTATGTTGCTGTATGGTTACTGACATACTTCATGTGGAGTGATTGTTTAGTATGTGGTATGTGGTTGCTGGTATGTTACTAGAGTGATGTGAATGGTTGCCAGGGAATTGCTATGCAGTTGCTTGAATGTTGTGGATGGTTGCCAGGGTGTTGCCTTTCAGTTGCTTGGGTGATCTGAGTGGTTGTTGGCGTGTTGCTCGGACTTTCGGAGTTGTTTGGTGGGTAAAGGTTAGGTTTTTTCCTAAGCAAGCATCACTGATTAGATACATTTTCCCAATATATGATATAAAATTCATTATAACAATTATGTGCAGGGGGTCCGCTGTTTTTGTGTCATTTCCTCACTGTCATTTTCTCTCTTTTGTGTTTCCACAGGTGATGTCTCAGTAGAGTCCCAGTTTCCTTCAGCTCCCTTACGTAAAAGAGCCCAGCCCTGCAACTGTACCTCCACTGCTTGATCCAAAATGTCTGCCACCAAAAGCGGTTATGAGGGCAAGATAGCCGGCCTATACGATCTAGACCGCACACTGGGCAAAGGTCATTTCGCCGTGGTCAAACTAGCCCGTCACGTATTCACGGGCCAACTAGTAGCAGTCAAAGTCATTGACAAGACCAAGCTTGACGATTTAGCAACTGGCCACTTGCTACAAGAAGTCCGTTGCATGAAACTCGTCCAGCACCCCAATGTAGTGCGACTGTATGAGGTCATCGATACACAGACCAAGCTCTACCTCATCCTAGAGCTGGGCGACGGAGGTGACATGTACGATTACATCTTGCGTCACGAAGGCGGGGTGGCCGAAGTCACGGCGAAAGTGCACTTTGCGCAGATCGTACGAGCGATAGCCTACTGCCATCGTCTGCATGTTGTCCACAGAGATCTGAAGCCGGAGAATGTGGTGTTCTTCAGGCAGCAAGGGACGGTGAAGCTAACAGATTTTGGCTTTAGTAACCACTTTAAGCCTGGGACAATGTTGATGACCAGCTGTGGTTCACTAGCATATTCTGCCCCAGAAATACTGCTAGGCGAAGAGTATGATGCTCCTGCAGTAGGTAAGTGATGAAACTTTATTTCTTTGGACATTGCACCTTCTACAAATTCTTGTATCACAGTTTCCCTTCTTCTATCTGTTTCCAAGTGTGTTGTTTTATTCAGCCAGTCAATCAGAATGCATTCAGAATCCCTGAAGCAAATTCGCATGAGAGCCAAATTCTCAATAAATGTCACTCCAAAGATTGAAATATTTAATATTCATTCATAAGAGATTCAAAGATTCATAAGGATTCATAAGAGATTTGAAAATTCATAGTTTCAAAGATTGAATATTTATCTTCTATCTGTTTCCAAGTGTGTTGTTATATTTAGTCAGTCAATTAGATCTCAGCAGATGCTAAATTCTGTCCTGTCGGCCTCAGACTTTTCATTTACATGGGGCGCAGTCAAACTAATCCGGCAAGGGATTAAATTGTAGTGGTTCGTGAGCTTGTGCGTTAAACTCATTGTTTGTGTTGCAAGAACGCCGGGTCGCCTCGCTCTCTTCTCGCAGTTGATCTTCCCCTCTCTTCTCCCCACGTGCCGCTTCTGGGTTTAATCGCTGCCGTTTGCCGAGCGGAAATCTACTGAATGAACAGCACATCTGTGCCCTGGCAGTGTTCAAGCAAGGAGATTTGAGTCAGGTCAGACCTACACATGCCTCAATTGACTGCATTCAGAGTCCCTGCAACAAATCTGCATGAGAGCCAAATTCACATTGAATATCCTGAAAATTAACGATAGTGAAATTGGTAACAAGCATTGTTTCATTTTGACATTAGCAATATCCATTAAAGAAACCCATGTCGTTCAACCACAGAGATGTATAAAATGTTTCTGCTGCCTGCGGTACATTTTTCTGTTGTGTTTGGTCTGGAACTTTCTCATATTTGCTGTAATGTTGTGTCTTGTCTTGGAAAATTGTTTTGAGGATGAATGTGGCTGACTGTGAACTCGTGTTCCTTCTATCTATCTTCCATTCTATTGTTCAGACCCAGTCACCTTATTAAGCTCTGGAGATTCAATGTATGACAAAAAGAGGAGAAATGAAAAGAAAGCAGATTTAAAGAGAGAGAGATAGAGATGAGTATGGAGAGAGAGAGAGAGAGAGAGAGAGAGAGAGAGAGAGAGAGAGAGAGAGAGAGAGAGAGAGAGAGAGAGAGAGAGAGAGAGAGAGAGAGAGAGAGAGAGAGAGAGAGAGAGAGAGAGAGAGAGAGAGAGAGAGAGAGAGAGAGAGAGAGAGAGAGAGAGACAGATTTATTGAGAGAGAGAGACTGGGTCAAGCAGGACACTTGAGCTTAACATTGACTCAGACAAGAGGATGAAGAGTAACTGGAATGACAACGAATCATTCTGTCTCTCTGTCTCTTTCTTGTTACTGTCTTGTTTCAGTTAAGTAGAGCTTTCTAGAGCACAGATGTACAGTACTGTTTCATTCCCCTGCTCTGAGATTCTAATGATTCTGAAGGCTCTAAGGCTCTTTTAAGAATCTGTAGAATCTAAAATAATCTTCAGAAGCTTAGAATCATTCATTGTAATATTCCAGTTTTTTAACTCTTTCCCTGCCATTGACGGAATTTTCCGTTATTTATGAGACAACACTTCCCGCCATTGACAAAATTTTCCGGCTTTCCATGTTTTCACTGTTATACGGTAGGGGGCGCTATTGCGCATCTTCTGAAAGAGTACTGAATCTCTGGATCAAAACACAGGAAAAAAGAAGCAGAAACAAGCGATAGCATATGTAAGAAGATACTGTATATTGCGTAAAATGTAAAATAATGCGATCATCAACATTAAAACGCATATAAATCAAAACGGCCTAATATTACCGAATGAAATGTCGACCCAGGACGAGGTACAGGACTGAGCAAGCTTTGGGGGTGTTGATGGACTCAATCTACTCCATCTATGTTTTGATCATTCTTTCTGAATATGATCCAGACGTTCTGAATTCTGATCCTTTTTTCTTTTTTTTTTAAACACTGGTGGGTAAAGAGTTAAGATTCTAAAGGTTTGAAGATTGATAAATTTCAAAAATTAAAAAGATTAATCGTTTCAAATAATCAAATGTCAATCAAATAGATTCACAGATTCCAAAAATTCGAATGATTCTAAAGCTTCATGGATTCAATGATTCTAGGGATTCATAGTTTTAAGATTTCAAATTTTAGGATTCCAAAGATGAAAATATTCAGTTTCAAAGATTCTAAAGATTTTTCTTTTTTAAAATTAAATATTCAAATTCATAGTTTGATAGATTCACAGGTTCTAAAGATTCATAAATTCAGCATAGATTCAAAGATGAAAATAGATTCTAAAGATTTGAATATTCCTAGATTTGAATATTTCAAAGATTGAAAGATTCTTAGTTTCAAAAATGCATAAATTGATTTGTAGATTCAAATATTCATAGATTCTAGTTACACTTGCAAAACTACACTACTAGTTAGTTTGCCTGAATGATCAGTCGACTGTTTGATCTTAGGGAAACTGTGAATATTTAGGCTGGTTTTGGGTTCCCCTGACCCTTATCTGATGCATTTCCTAGTGTGCGTTCACACAGCTCATGTTCTTGTGTTCAAAAATAGTTGGATGGAGTGCAATGGAATAGAACAGAATGTAGGGATATGGAGACGTGTTTTGCAAGTTGAACTATTTTTAACTTGACACACTGTCTTATAAACTCAAGGCTTATGATGAAAGATGGAACAAAATGTGAGTCACAAAGCTGGTGACAATGTACGACGAAGACAGAGAGAGAGAGAGAGAGAGACAGTCTTCAGAGGACACTTGAGCTTAACATTGCTTAGACACTGAACCTGTCTGTCTCTCTCTCACTGTCTTTCTCTCGTTCCAGTTCACTAGGGCTTTCTAGAGCACAGATGTGTGCTGAGCTGCCATGTGTGCCCTTCCGCCCCTCTACTCTAATATTATTAATATCATATTTATATGATTCTTTTCTGCCAGAGCGCCATGTGACTGTGGGACAGTAATTCTCACAGAGGCTGCCTGTGCCAGAATTAGATCTGCACAAAGTGGGTCAGCCTCCGCCGAGACCCAACAAAGTGTGCAGAGGAGGCAATACTCACACACATACATGCTAGGACGCTAGAGGCGTGTGAACCTGAGGCCTTGTCTCATCTTTCTCTAAGCGATAGAACTAGAGCAGATAAGGACTGAGTAGTCATGTGTTACAGATGTTTAACTTACTTTATCAGTCAGAATGAAGAGTAAACATGGACATAAAAGCAATGGAGCTGCTTTGCTATAGCTGTAGCTTAGCAGTTAGCATATTTGCCTGAATACATTCAGTTGTTCAGGTGACACAGGTTCATTCTTCAAATGCAGTCTAAGCCGATGAGTTTCGAATGTTATATGTTGTATTTGTTTAAGTTAAAAATAAAACATATTATAATCTAAACAAATACATGGTTCATTTTTGGCAAAATGATCATGATAGCCTTTATATATCTGTGTGGTTAATATTGATTAAGCCTACTTTGCTATTCTATAAATATATAGGCCTAATAAGTTGCATTATAATATGATATAAAATGTATGCATTTCAGGGGGCATGTCACTCACTACCACATACCACCCCCCACCCCCCCACCCCCGTTCCTTATTTCCATTTCAGAAAGTTGGCAACCCTACTGGCTAATTTGGTTAGCTTCTACCAGTTCACAGGTTCATTTGCATAAAATACTGTAGAATTGGACGCATTTTGTAGGGCTGCAAAAGGAATAAAACCAAAATCATGAGATGGTTTAGTGCGACTAGCAAATCACAAAGGCTGAAAATAATAATAATTTCTAGTCATATTGATAAATGATCTACGGAGCCCCGCACATGACTTGCAAAAAGAATGTAACCGTGTGCCCGATTTACTATTTTGTTCCCTGGATTTGCTAAATCGTGCGCACGATATAGCAAAGCAAGGCAACGAAATAGTACATCGTGCGCACGATTTATAAATCAAGGGGACAAAATAGTAAATCGTGCGCACGATTTAGTAAAAATTTGCTGAACTCCCCCCAGCCCCCCCAAATCATGCAGCCCTAGTCATTTGACATCAACAACAATAGATATGAGAAGTGTTTTATTTTGATAAGCTTGTTTATTTTTCTTTATTAAAATGCACATTTATATTGTTAGTTAGTTAGCTTACTTTCATTCACAACAGCCTTTGTTGTTCTTTTTTTTCTTTTCTTTTTTAAGATAAAATGCCGGCTAATTACATTTTGCTAGCACAAAAAAACAGACTTAATTAAAAGCACCTGGCTTGCACTTGCATTGTACCTGAATTATGTTACGTTATTGTGCAGTGGGACACATTCCATCTGCTAGTCTGTTTATTTTAGCAGCTCTAAACACACGGCAGTGCCTGTCGGCTGACCATGTGGCCGGCTGCCTAGTACGGTAGTTTATTCAGCTCCTGAAGTTTGCTGGGCACAGGCTGGCTAGCTGATGACATTAACCTCTGTAGCAAGAGAGAGAGAGATGAGAAAGTGTAGAAACTGATATTTAAACATGTGATTGAAGAAGGGTTTTTGCATGGTTTTTTTTTAGCGTTCATGCATGAGCCTGAGCCTTTGTGTGTGGACGGCTGAATGTCCATTAGCTCTGTCAGAGGTTTTATTCATAGTCTGTAATCAGCTGCTCGACTCTAATCCACTCACAAGAGTTCAGTCACTCAATGCCAGCTCACATGCAGACACACACACACACTTGAGCTCTAATTACCACTCTATTATATTCTACACACAACATATAAGTAAGTACAGGTTTTGTGGGGACCAAATTGTTCTCACATGGACATTACAATGTCCTCATGATCTGGCTTACCGTGTATACCGGGTGTGAAGCAGCTCAGTGTCATCAGGATTCAGGTTGTTGACATTGCTGATCTGAGATGTTCTGAGACAGATAAGCTGGGAGAGACTGACTCAGTGACATCTCACAAACTCACACACTCCAAGATATCACACACACCTTCACAAAACAGGCTATCTTACACTGCTTTGTGTGCATTTTTCTTTTCTTTTGAAAGAAATTACTACTTATATCCAACAAGGACACATTAAACTGATCAACAGTCACAGTAAAGACATTTATAATGTTTGTAAAAGATTTCTATTTCAAATAAATTCTATTCTTTTGAACTTTCAGTTCATCAAACAATCATGAAAAAAATATATCACGGTTTCCACAAAAATATTAAGCAGCACAATTTTTTTTAACGTTTAAAATAATAAGAAATGTTTCTTGAGCAGCAACTCATCATATTAGAATGATTTCCGAAGGATCATGTGACACTGAAGACTGGAGTAATGATGCTGAAAATTCAGCTTTGCCATAACGGGAATAAAGTACATTTTTAAATATATTAAAATAGGAAACAGTTATTTTTAATTGTAGTAATATTTCACAATTAATAAAAAAACAGAGCCTTGGTAAGTCTTCTTTTAAAAACATAAAAAAAATCAGACCCCAGAATTTTGAACATATTTGGACAATCAATTTTATTAGAAAATTCAAATATTTTCCAAACATTATGACAGTTTTAGATTTCAAAAAAGATTCTAAATATTCTGATACTTAAAAAAAAACTCTTAAGATTCTAACAAATATTATAAAAATTATAAAAACGTTCTTAAGATTATAAATATTCTAAGATTTCTGACATTCTAAAGATTCTATTATTCTACAAACTATAATTAGAATCTTTAAAATCCTAGAATCTTTACAAGACCTGAAGTCTGGAGACACGCTGTTGTCACATTATGTAACCTCAACACAGACCCGCTCCTTGTTAGTTTCACTGTTTTGTGTAAACTGCAGTCACAGCACTCACACATAGTCATAGAGGTGTGCTGCACTTCAAACTAACCAGTCACACTGACCCTAGATCAGCATAAAGAGTTCCTTTTGATGATGGAGACATTTGATGCTGAAAAAAATAAAGTTGTCTGGTCACCTCCACACATTCACACTCTTTCTTAAGGTAGATGTTTCTTACAGAGTTTCTAAGAAACAACTGCATACAGTAGGTTATGTTTGTGATCATTATCATAAACTATCTTTATCATTTATCTAAGGAAACAGGTTGAGTACTTTAACTAAAACTTGTTTGATCAAGGATTTTATTAGTTTAAACCTTTGGTGTCATATTTCATCTGATGTCCAATCACATGTATATTTAGAGCATCTGAGTGTGCTAAAAGATAAAATATGTTACATAACATCCTGCATGCACGTGTGTGGCTGTGCGAGATTTGTAGCACTCGTCTGTTTGTCTGCATCTGTGGAGGAACACGCCGTACAGAGAGCAGAAGAGAGGAGTTATTGTCAGAGCAGTTAAAGACAATGTTTGGACAATGCTGTCTCTCAGGACTGTCTGTCACGCTCTGCTCTGGTTCACACAGTACATGCTCTTTCACACAGGAGTCATCCGTATACACACAAATGTTGGGTTTCAGTGTTTTATGTTGATTAAAACGGATGATTATAATGATTTTTATACTGTACAAATTGTATATTCTATGGCCTAACTCTAAACCTACCCATTATAAAAAAAACTTTATGCATTTTTACATAGTCAAAAAATATCACTTATGATTTACAAGCTATTTTACTCATGGGACCAAAAATGTCCCCACAAGGTCAGAGATTTCTGGGTTTGCCATCATTGTGGGGACATTTTGTCCCCATAGGGTTTACCAGGAACACACATGTCAGATTTGAAGTTGCTGTTTAAATTGGGAAAGTTTAAGAAGTTGGAACAGGTTTTAAAAAAAAAATTGTTAACTTGAAAGGCCACCCATTTTTGGGTGAATTATCCTTGTAAAATTAAAACTAAAAAGTCATCCTAAATTTGAATAATTTATTATTAGTAGTGGCAGTATTAATGATGTTGTTGTTGATGATGATGATGATGATTAATGATGAAATAAAACAAATATATATATATATATATATTGACAAAAACATTCCAAAACAAAATTACTAAAACTTTAACTGAAACAGAACATTTTTAAATAAAATCTAATTAAAAATATTAACAAAAGCTAAAATAGTATATCAGTGATATTAAAATAACACTGATCCAAGAACAAGATTAGAATTCCAATCCCATGTTGATACAACACAGTAGTAATATCCTGTGGATTTAATATTTGCATTTGTCCTCTGGCCACTTCTGAATTTCTGTATGGACCTCCAAGAATACAGCAGCCGAATTTAACTGCCAGTCAGATCTGCGCACTTGACCAAAACTATGAATGAGCACATTCTCGGTACTCTTTCCTTTAGAAATCGAAGGTTAAATGAAATGTTATGAATATAATATGAATGGTCTGACTGACTAATCTCACTTAACAGAGCAAGGCCTAAACCTTCACCCATATTTGTACTTTTGTGTGTGTTCTCACGCACACAAGTGAAAAAGTAAAAGAGGAAGCTTGTTTTCTTGGAAGTCCACCGTGGAAAAGTACGCCACCAAAACAAACACGTCTCTTGTGGGACTTACACGCCCTCTCTATTACTTTTCAATCTTTTTTATGTCCCGTTCACCATGGTCTTGGTTCATGATGTTCTGTAAGACTTCCTGGGATACTTATTTGGCACAGAGTTGGATTGGAAAACAATGTCAGGGACATTTTAGTCAGAAAATCATGCCTATAAAGCTTAAGTTAGTTCAATATTGTCTGAGGACGTACAGTGAGAGTATTTAGAATTGCTGGAGAGGCTCTGTTTTAATTGTGCTTAGTTTATTTGTGTGTATTGGTTGGTTTTGATAGTGTGAGCATGTGTCACATGTGGGCACTTCTTTGTTGGATAAAACCCTTGACATGTTTCTTCCTCTTTTCTGCACAAATCCAATTACGCTTCTCTTAAGGGATGTAAATATTTACTCTGACAACAGTTTGATTTTTAAAAATTCAGATATATGTGGCAAATAGATTTAAGATTAAGTCTGGTATTGTCTGTCTTTTAGATATCTGGTCACTGGGTGTAATCCTCTATATGCTAGTGTGTGGACAACCACCCTTTCAGGAGGCCAACGACAGCGAGACCCTCATCATGATCATGGACTGTCGTTACACTGTGCCCAACCACATCTCTCCAGAATGCAAAGAGTACGTATGTCATCTGAGCTTGCACACATGAACTAATACTGTATACAGCTTTCTCCCATTTAATCCAGCAGGCTGGAGCTTATTGTGTATTTGTACAAAGCTTACTCAATTTATGCTTAAAACAAGAAAAAACAATTTGCCAAATGGGCTTAGAACATTTTTTATTTAAGACGTATTCTTCGAAAACAAGTTAGAACAATGTTATCTTGGGAATTTCACTGGAAAACATGACAAAAATACAACTCCAGAAACTCATCATGATAGTAGGCCATTATGTAACAAGTCTTGTATTATGCAGGGTCAGTTGATTTAATATATCAATAGTCTTTTCTTCCCAAGCTGGTGCTGACGAGTTCACTGTTTCTGAAAAAACAATATTACCAAGAACATGACCCTGGTAATACCCTTTCCAATAAGAGTTTAATGCTGATCTGACTCATGCCCACAAAAACATGCTCGAGTTAAATGACAGCTTTGTGCCACTGGAACACAGGGTTGTGTTCTGTTGTGTTTTCCCCCCTGAGAACTGACAGGACAGAACTCAAACACCACTCCCTCGCACTCCAGTTTGTACCACTTTCACAGCAAACTTCATACCTATGTGTAGACCGAAGCCCATATGAACATAATGTACTTTATCTGTTTACACCTGCTTGGACCGGCCAATCACAGTTTGTGGCTGTTTAAATGACGCAAATGTTCTTGAAGGGTTAGATTTAGGAGCAAGTTATGACAGACACACAAAAATTGCATCCTTGGGCCAGCTGATGGATACGGAGAGTAACAGGTCAAGACAACTCCCTCATTTTGGCTCATGAGGGCTTTAACTAGATATTCTGGTTGGGTTAGATATGCTTGACTTTTTAAGCTTTAATACACTTTTTGAATCATAATATTGTACTGCTCTTAAAAAGGTTTGGGCGTGATTTGGAATTTGAACTTGAAAGGAAATCGAGCCACAGGAATGCTTTGAAACAATACTGTTTGACTAAAACAATTTTGACTAATTATGACTATTTGTTACCTCATACTTTTTCCTCAAATGATGAGACTTATTTCTATAAATTAATTGTCAAAATAGTTTATATTTTACCATTGAGAACTACAAAATGTCCACCACATTTTTTCAGATAACTTAATAATAATAATATATTTTTTATTATTATCTTTTTTTTTTAAATGTGTAAATATATATTTCTATAATAGGTGCCACTCTAGTGTTTCTTTAAATATATTTTCTGTAACAAAATGAAATGTATTATTAAAAACACATTTCATTTCATTTGTATGTACAATTCTGGGTCCTATTAGACACCATATTTCACATTCAGGAACTTAATTTTAAATCACAAACCAATCTCGATTCACTTCTGAAAGGTGCACAAGCCTACTTTAAAGTGTGTTCACCGCAGCTCTAAAGTGACCAGATCTTTACACAAGGCTGCCTTTTGTCTGAGTTATTTTTAAGTGGGTTTATTCCAGCCTATTTGTTGTCAGAACATCCCCAAAGCAACAGCTCTCAGGCTTCAGTTTAGGTCTGAATCAGGCAATTGTGCAAAGTGTGCGTACAAGTTTGTGTTAGACATCTGGGCTTGACTGCACAGCCAAACATAGTGACTGGGTCACATGATCTCCACCACAATCAAAAGCCTCCTTTAATGTGAAGAGGTTTCTTTGAGGAGGAGAACACTTGTGTCTTTAGGCAGACTTTCATCTTGCTGTTTATCCGTAGTTTGCTTTTTTCCACCCTTCTTCCTCACGGCTATTTAAGGTCTTGAGGTTAAACACATCAAGAGACTCCACTGATGTTCAAGGGCAATGGAGCATGTGGGATTATAAACACTAAAAAAAAAACACTTTGAAAGGGAAAACATCTCCCCCTGCTGGTCAGCTATGTGAGATGCAGGAACGTGTGCCAGTACCGCAGTGAAATAAAACACTCAAATGCCCTGAATAAACAAGCTGGATGCAGTGCATTCACACATACACAAGCAAGCTTGGATCGCAAGTGTTCCAACCAATACCGTATTCTTTCTGTTCGCCTCACTGAAGCACCGATTCTCTGCAGGTGCTCATGAATATTAATCAGCAGAAAGATAAGCACTTCCTTTTCATTCCGTCTCCTCTGATGGCAAGATGCGCCTGTGCAATCATCGTCTGTCAGCCAGGCAGAGAATATTTATTAAGATTGCTAGAAAAGGAAAGTATGAAAATTGCAAGTAGAGTGAGACTGAAATGAAGTGAGATGGAGGCAAGTGTGATAAAGGGTGACAAAATTAAGCCTATTTGAGATGATGGGATTTTTCCATCATCCCATCATCTCCATTTTTCCATCATCCCCCCCCCCCCCCAGAGAAGGTCATGTCTAATGTTCTCGTTCTGCTCTGGCAAAAAAAGGAATAACAATCTCTCATCATTCTCTCCCTCTTATTTTCTTTTTTTTCCCTTTAAGTTTGATTTCACGTATGCTGCAGAGGGATCCTGCTAAGCGGGCGTCTCTCACAGAGATAGAGGGCCACCCTTGGTTGCAAGGTGTTGACCCTTCGCCTGCCGGATACACAGCCGCCCCGCTTACCTCTCACCGCAGTTTGTTACCCGAAGAGCATGAGTTCATACTTCAGGCCATGACCAGTGGCAGCATCGCTGACCGAGATGCCATCCAGGAGTGGGTATCTCTTTATACTTCTTGGATATTTTCTTTTGGTCGTAGAATACAGTTATATAGTACAAATACATTTTTGTGTCATAGAGCTTTGGAGGCTGACCGATATAACCACATCACAGCCACGTACTACTTGCTGGGAGAGCGACTCCTTCGAGAAAAGCAAGAGCAGTCAAGTCTCACTCCTGAACAAAGACATACACAGTAAGTCCCAGTATTCTTAAACATATTTTGGATAATTTTGGTTCTGAAGGTCTTTTATCTTCTTATGTGGTGGATCTAATCTTACCACACAACCCTTGGAACCTAGAGGTTCTTAATACGTTGTACTGAGTACTGTTATTTTCTCCCGCTACAGGAGACCCATGTCGGACCCACTGGACTTGGTGAGCCAAGTGCCCGGGACTGATACACTAAGAGGAGCACCTATGGGTCCCTTAGCGCCTCTTGGCTCTCTGTCTTCCGGCTATGTCCGACGTGGTGTGAGCGAGTCTGGGGACCTGCTGGCTCCCAAACCCAACCGCCATGACAACTCCTTCAGTGACTTTTGCAGCACAGCTCCATGCTTGAGCCTCAATTTGCGCCCTCTACCTCCAGACCAACCTACTGTCAAGAGCCTTGGAGCCTTACAGCAGATCTGTGAGGAGGAAGAGGAAGAAGAGGACGATGAAAAGGAGCAGAACAAAGATGAGGTGAAGCTTGAGGTGGCACCTGGTAAACTGGGTCTGCTTCCTTCGACAGATCTATCATTGAAACCTTCTAGAATATCTTTGCAATCAGAGACTCAGAGGAGAACAGGGATGCCGTCAAGTAAGGTGATGGGAAACTGTGAAACTCTGGCCGAGGAGGAGGAACTTGATGAACGATCGGAATCAACAGAAGAGCAAAAGAAGCCTTCAGAATTAGTCTCTAACGTCTCTTCTGGCACCATAGAACATCAGGTAGAGATGCCCTTGAAGACTGAAGCCCATGTGGAAGAGTTCAACCACACAGAACAACCAGGTAGAGGAAGGGGCAAGGATGTTTTCACCCACCCTAGCTTGTCTTTAGATGAGCAAGAGGGAGAACAGATTCAAGATCCAAATATAGACGGACCTCCACCAGCTCCCACATTAGATGTTGTACAGTGCTGCTGGGGACAGCGTGAACCTTCAAAGGACACACTAGAAAATAACAATAATACCCTAGCCAAATCTCGACTGCTCGAGGTTGGGGTGGTGTCAACACCTTGTGGTTCCCCGAGGTCCCTGCCAAGGAACCACTGTGTGGACCCGGGTCCCGATGGGGTGGAGATGCGTAAGACTGAGGCTGAAGTCGAGAAAACTGAGGAGGTACAACCTAAACCTCAGAAAGGCCTCCAGGGAACCAGGGACACAAGTACTGACTCTGCTATTCGGGCCGATCCCAGCAAGGTCAAGAACGTGAACTTGCGAGAACGTCTGCTACAGTTCCCGCTCTGTGAGAAAGCCTTGTCCTTCAACATCCAGCCCACCTCTAAAGAGAAGCTTCTACCATTTGCACAGTACAACTGTTGCCATGTCTTGTAGAGATTGGATCTCGAGATCAAAGAACAAACTGGCATGAGAAGCCCTCAAATATCTGCAACTTACTGGACACTAAAAGAATAAGTGTGTTCTCACCTCATACTGTAACCTCAGAGGTGCTTTCCCACACAATCTACTAATTGTATATTATTATTTTCTTTCCCTACCCAGCATTCATTGCTGCTTTCCTGTAAGACAGTTAACCTTTTGGCAATGCTGTGTATATGAACACCTGTATCTACTGACACTGCTCACTATATTCTGTGCTATCTCAGAGAATTTTATTAGAAGTAGCATATGTCTTGCTAGCGTAGAAGCTTTAATTCAATAACTTGTCATTTTGCACTGTAATATCTTAACCACATTAAGTGTACCACAGAGTTTAGTGATATCACTAAACGAGTGACTGAGTGACCATTCTTCACAGTGACACAGAAAAAGGCTACACAAGAACATACGGTGAACAATCACAATAGAGGCCATTTAGGCTCAAGGACTAGCCACTTAGTCAGTACAGTAGTCCTAACAAGTTTTTAGTCATTCATTTGTGTTGTTTTTGCCGGTGACTGTGAGGCAACGTTCTTAACTCGCAGAACTTTGAAGAAGTTGCATTCTGTGGCATTGATGAAGTTGCTAATTCTCGTGCTAGCATGTTAGCTTGCATCTTTACTGTCAGGCAGTGGGACAGGAAGCAGAACAGTTTGCCACATTGATACAGTGAACAGTGACAGTTTGGGAGCATGGTTATGAAAGCATGCTAAATGAGCACAGCTTAGCATAACATTAGCATTTTGTGAGCTGGGGGACTGACTAGGGAAAGATGCTAAGTATATCTGTGATATATTTACAAAAAAAAAAAACAGAGAGGGCTCGAACAGAGATTATTCTGAGAGATTATAGCTAGAGACTTTTTGTGAAACGGACATAATGTTACACAAAAACAGAAGACTGGTCTTCCTAGAGCAGTATTTTGGAGTTTGTTTTAAAACTGCTAATTCTTGGAAATATTATGAAGCTTTTATCAAATATTAGAGAGTTATCAAGGGTTTTTTAGAAAGATGGTGACAAAGACATCATATCTTTTTTTTCTTTTACATAAGGAGATATGTGAGGGAGATTAATTACATAACATTGAACATCTGTTTTTGTTTAATCATTTGCCTTTGGGTACATTTTTAACATATGTTGTATGTATGGGTATAAGCTCTTTGAAATATCCATATATTATGTACAGTGTATATATATTTTTTGAACATTATGCTATTGGTATGATGTTGTATTTTGACCCTTGCACCGTATCCATACAAACATTTCAAACCCTCCATTTTAGATCGTATTCAGTGAACGTAGCAACTTTTATGACACTAGTTTGATGATCGACAGAGATCATATAGATCATAAATACATTTGAAGAGCTGTATGATATCATAAAGCTAAATTGCGTAGCTGAGCCTAGCTTAAAATGTACATTGAGAAAATCCAGCCTTCGTATGTTGCAATGGCATGAGTGAAGCTAGCGGTTACTGTTGTTTTTACCTCCTAAACAGCCTAAACACGATCACATAAACATTTAGATAGCAGGTGTGACTGTGGTTACTGTTACTTTGGTACTCTAAAGGACGTCAAAGTTATTCAGTCACTTCACATGTTCGTAAGTTTCTGTGCTATACATAGTACACCTGTCACTGGTGAATTAATTATTTTTTGTCATACTGTAGTCAATGTAAATGCAAATGTCGAATAGGCCTATACTTTTTTTTTTTTTCTTTTTTTTTTGCAATATCTTGGACCACGAATAAGCTTGACCAAATGCACAAGAATAGATGTAATAATGTAAAAGGTGCTTTGGGGAGAGATGTCGAGGGTTAAATTACATCTATGTAACGTGAAATTTGAATTTTAATTCCCATACAAAGTTTAAACTAGGAACAACCATCCTGACCTGCGATGTTTTGTAAGTACAACCTTCTGAACCAATCGGATGGCAGAGCGATATAAAAGCCAGACGTGCATTATATTTTCGTAATCAGCCTTTTTTTTCTTATTATTTTGATGTTACTCATTTGACATGGGTCTCCATCCTTCAAAGAATCTGTAATCACTTCACAACAGTTGGATTTTGGTTTGTCTATAGTCCCATTGACCCTTACTAAAACTATGACTGTCTCAATGAGATTAATTTATTTTTATATTTATTTATTAAAACTGATTAAACTGCCCTTGTGTCGTTGTATTTTTTTTTCTTTTTTCAAAGACTTAGTGCACAAGACCACAGTGATACATGACATGGCTTTTGAATATTTATTAATAGTTTTCTTCAAGGCCATTTACATCAATATACATTCATATGACATATTCAGTGAAGCAAGCATTGCGTGGTTATTTATACCGGTTGTAAGAATACGATCCATTTTGATGACATGTAAAATACAACTGAGGGTAAAAAGTTAAAATTGTCAATATATTTACAAAAAAAAATGAGTAAAAGCAAATATACAAAAAGAACAGCAACCGGAAAAATACTATACCATAGTGATTGAGGTGAACTATTATTGTAAACTCATTAATACAGCACATTATGGGTCTATGTTAAGCCACTATCATCATTTTTTTTATCTTCCTTGACCTTAATCATCTGTTTTCAGTAGTTTTCAAAAAGGTACCACTGACGCACGCAAACAATTATTAACTGTGGCTTAAACCCTGTAAACTGTAGAAGTTATCTTTGGTAAACTGTGCCATATGGTACATTAGCAAGCTAAGTATACAGTGGCTAAGTGATGTGACTGCATGGCCAAGCACCTCCTTTTTTGTGATTGTCTCCATGGAAATAGTCCATGGTCACTCTCCCATTTTGGCCTTCGGAGGGAGTTTCTCATCCACACGAGAGCTCTTGATCCTCTGAGGGAGAAAAAGTTCATGACATTTTTTTGGTTTCGTAAACAGTCCATAACATACATTAGATTTTAAAATAATTGTTTGGTTAATCGCATGATGCCTTTAGTCTTGATGAGCCATGAGAAACTAAATTAAACTGAGTCATAAAGTAAAAAAGACGGATAACATTAGCGTTCTGTCAGCTTTATTAACTAATATTGGGGAAAGGATTGCTGAAAATGACAGGCATGATTGTAATAACTTACAGCTACACTTATTATGTAGACAAAAACTTCAAATGTAATATACATTGCTAAACAATGTAGCAGAATGCTAAAAATGCTAACAGTTAGCAAAAGTGGTACCTGTTTCTTAAGCGCTTGCATCGAGTGAAACTCTATTTGTTCTCTCTTGATTCGGACCCAGTCCGGTTCATCAGGGATCATGAAGGCCAAAATCATCTTTGCCATGATCAGGACGTGCTAGAACAAAACAGCATAATAAAACAATCAAGACACGACATTCATTCACAAACAGAGCTTGTGAAAACAGCAGCCAGCTAATTCACTTCAGATAAGTGCTTTCAAGCCCTTCTGGGAAGTTCGTATTTACAATTTGGGAGGTATTTACACTTTGATCAGATCATGTTGATGTACCTTTTCTACATTAAAAAATGATGTCTTGCAAATCGGGTGTGTTTTTGTTTTTTTGTGTTTTTATTCATGGCGCTGTAAACTGAATCTTTATAAATATTAAATTGTAAATGTACAATACGGTTGTATTATGTACATGCAACTTATTGTAAATTAAATTTTTTTTTGTTATTAATGTAAACAAATTTACTGTAAACTACAGACCCTGCATCCATATATATAGCATCCGCCATGTTTTCTCAGCACAACTCCAATTCGAAGTCTGGGCTCAAAGAAAATCCAGAGTTTCTCACTCATAATTATGTGTTGGCGTTCATGTGCATCTAACAGTAACTCGTAAATGCGATCTTTCCAACATGACTTGAATCAAATTCCTTTAAAGGAATAGTTCATCCAAAAATAAAAATGTGGTCACTTTTAACCCTCAGGTTATTCCAACCCCATATGTGGTAATTTTGACATTGTCAAAGAAATTTGGACTTTTTTTTTTTGTCCTTTTTGGAGCTTGTGGTCACTATTTTCATTTTTTGTTCAATTATTCCTCCGACTCTTTCCGAGGCTGTACCAAAATCTCCTCAAACCTCCACAATGACGGCAATGACTAGAATTTGGCTGCTGCTGAGGCCGGCTTCCTGTGTGAGTTCCTTCACACGTGGGGACAGAAGCAACAGCCAGCAGTTAGACACGACCGAGATGAAGCTCAGCACCTCAAACGCCAGCTGTAAACAAGACAAAGACGCACATTAGGACTCATGATTATTATCATGAACGCATTTAAAACATCCTTATGAAGTACAGATTTCTGACCTGCCATACTCCCATGTTGGCCACAGGGGCAGAGAAGGGCTTGTTGAAGAGCTTGCAGAGCTTGTAGGCATCTGTGCGGATCTCTGTGAGGTTGTTGAGCAGTAACAGAGGGGCGGTGAGAGGATAGACGCAAGAGAAAAGACTCAAGTAGCCAAACTGAACAAGCAGCTCGATGTACTCAGCAAACAGCCCCTGAAGAGGAACAAGATTGAGAATGTAAGAAAAATACAGTTCTTGTATTCTTGATATTTGAGAATATAGAACAGTGCTACTCACTGGGAAAGCTGGCAGGCTGCCTTGAGCCTGGAGATGGTCCACCTCTGGATCGTCTTCCTTCAGGTTCCTGTCTGCCGATGTGAGGAAACGGTCCACCAGGAAAGGAACCACCACCTCAGTGAACTGATTCACTACCTGGGTCACGATCAGAAGAGAGGCCAGTCTCTGTGGACCAAATCAAGGGTATCGTGTTAAGAAGATGTTAATGTTGTTAGGATTATATGTGAGAGTAAGGAAATTCTCACCTTGCGCAGTAGAGGCATGTCCTCTTTGAAGAACGCAATGTGGAACAACACAGCAAAGTTATTGAAAAAGGTGAACTGAATGAGAAAGGGAGACAGATACGGCAAATGGGACGTTTTCATTCAGTCCTACAGAAAATTCTGGTCTTTGAGGTATAACATCTGCAATGATGTACAGACTACATCTCAGAGATGGAAAGAAATAAAGATGGGGAGTCGGGAAAAAAGAAGATCAAATGGATATGACAGAACTATACTCACCACAAGGACTTTGGTCGTATGATGATAGTCAAAAGATGATTCCTCCCTATGATTTTCTGAAAGGAGAGAGAGTTAGTTAAGTTTTGTGTTTCTCAACATTATAATCAGTTTTCCTGTCCTTTTCCATAATCCTGATTACCTGACTCTGTTAACTGCAGGGCCACGTTACGATATATATTCCCCAGCACGTTGGTGTAGACTATATGGGCTATAGAAGGGATATATACCAAGGGTGCAGTGAAGTATGATCCAGATCCTTTGTGCCAGTTTGAGACCAGGCGCTCACAGAAATAGAAACCTGCCATCCCCATGACCACCAGACCCAAAAACACCCCAACCACGGGAACTGAGACCAGACCCATCCTAAGCCTCCTCTTCCAATCGGGAAACAGCGGCTCCAGTCTGCCTGTGACCGGATTGGTGCCGACTTCTCCATGGAAACCCGGTCGGGGCTCTTGGAATTGTTCGGCTAAATTGAAAGTGCCCCAGCGATAGGATAAGGCCGCACTCCTCCTCTTCCACAGCTCCATGAATATCGTGGACCACAGCATGCTGAAGACTGCCTGCACCATGTAGGAGCTGACTGAAGGGTGGTCATCGTCGTCCTTCAGTGCTGTCGGCTCGCTGTCGGTTTTATTTCCACTGGAGAAGTTTGCACTTGGGAGGAAAAAGGTGATGAAGACCCCCAGAATGGCTGGAGGAAACAATGACAAAGTGTAGTAGTCCAAGAAGCTGAAATAATAGGCTATAGTGCCACCAAAATAAGCATGGATGGAGTCTGTAGAGAGAGAGAGAGAGAGAGAGAGAGAGAGAGAGAGAATTATTAGTGTTATTATAATAAATACAAACTAATGTATATGTAGAGTCCATCGTTTGGTGATTATTTGTGTTAGTAAAGTCTACACAAGTCTACACTCGTCATGTTCCTTAACAAAAAAACTGATTTATTCTCGTTTCCAAAAAGAACAGAAGCAAACAAAAGACAAGGTAGAAAACCCATGTGCTTCCATAGCTGATCACACAGGAAGTATTTATATATAATAATAACATATTTTTAAAATACAAATATGAATTAAAATACAATATTAAGTTAACTACAACCAAAGCTAAAATTAAGAAGCTTAAGTTAATCTAAGCATCTCATGGCTTTACACCATTACAGGGTATCTAAATATATGCAAATATTACACACAGTGTCTCACACACACACACACACACACACCTATAACATTATTACTTCACTTTTATATTTTCATATTCATTAGTATGTATAGAATTATATAATACATTTATGAGTTTTAGTCAAATGACTTTTTATTATGAAGTTTTATTATGCCCATTAAATTGGATTAAATGGCCCTGAACAAAAGATAATTGTGTATAATTGAAACACTGGATGGGTAGAAAAAGAATGCATACTAAATGAATGATTAGTTATGTGACGTGAGTGTGTGTTTGTTTGTACCTAAAGGCTGCCCCCACAGACTCTTCTGAGAGTACCACTGCTTCCCCAGAGCCGTCAGAAGCTTCTGGTCATGAAGAGGAGTGACGTTACGGATCACGCCTGCTTTCTCCAGCTTCTGTACTGCAGCACAGAGAGAGAAAGGGATGAACGGACGGACAGACAGACAGATAGATAGATAGATAGATAGATAGATAGATAGATAGATAGATAGATAGATAGATAGATAGATAGATAGATAGATAGATAGATAGATAGATAGATAGATAGATAGATAGATAGATAGATAGATAGATAGATAGACAGACTGATAGATAGATAGATAGATAGATAGATAGATAGATAGATAGATAGATAGATAGATAGATAGATAGATAGATAGATAGATAGATAGATAGATAGATAGACAGACAGACAGGTAGATAGACAGACAGACAGACAGATAGACAGACAGACAGACAGACAGACAGACAGACAGACAGACAGACAGACAGACAGACAGACAGACAGACTGATAGATAGATAGATAGATAGATAGATAGATAGATAGATAGATAGATAGATAGATAGATAGATAGATAGATAGATAGATAGATAGATAGATAGATAGATAGATAGATAGATAGATAGATAGACAGACAGACAGATAGATTGATAGATAGATAGTTAGATAGACAGACAGATAGATAGATAGATAGATAGATAGATAGATAGATAGATAGATAGATAGATAGATAGATAGATAGATAGATAGATAGATAGATAGATAGATAGATAGATAGATAGATAGACATGCAGACAGATAGATAGACAGACAGACAGACAGACAGACAGACAGACAGATAGATAGATAGATAGATAGATAGATAGATAGATAGATAGATAGATAGATAGATAGATAGATAGATAGATAGATAGATAGATAGATAGATAGATAGATAGATAGACAGACAGGTAGATAGACAGACAGACAGACAGACAGACAGACAGACAGACAGACAGACAGACAGACAGACAGATAGATAGATAGATAGATAGATAGATAGATAGATAGATAGATAGATAGATAGATAGATAGATAGATAGATAGATAGATAGATAGATAGATAGATAGATAGATAGATAGATAGATAGATAGATAGATAGATAGATAGAGCTGCATGCAGTGACTAAGCAGTTCAGAGAGAGAGGAGAGTGGAGCCTGCTGGCGACTCATGGAACTGAATAGAAAACTAGCACACTGTTTACTAAAACACACTGTATAATGTCTGCTGTTTTATAAAAGTATAGTGTGCAAAACAATATGCAAGCTTAAATGTTCAAATGAAGTCATTGGATATAAAAAGAGTTAATTCAATCCTATTTTGTGTAAGAATGTTGCAATTTTTAGCAGTCCGATCAAATAATGAGCCAATCACAGGCTGCATCCGAAATAACATACTTCTCTACTATATAGACCTTATGCACCAGAGAAACAAGCGCGCCGTCATCTTTAGAATATTGTCTTTAAGCTTCCGTTTTTGCGGTCACTCTGTATATTTCTATGGCATCGCTGTCCAGGAGTAATTAGCTGATGAAGTGGATTTACTTATTGTAGAGTTAACGAAAGTTATCATGAGCATTGTATTGTTTATAATAAGCATCGTAAAGCAGATGTCTTAACAAATGTCGACCGGGAATTTTTTTTACAAGCCGTTCATTCATACAAGATCGCTGTGAAAATACAGACCGGAAGTCAAAAGACAACGAGCGCAGCGCTGAAAATGGGCGTGGCTACATAAGGTCTATAGTAGGCGAAAACCAGAATGTAACAAAAGTAGTCCGAATTCACAGTACTCATAAAAGAGTAGGCAAAAATGACCCGGATGACCTACTACTTTCGGAAAGATTCTTTACTATCCCATGAGGCCACGGGAGATGATTTGTGAATCATCACAAGTTAGGTCATGCGAAAATGGCAACTTGTTATACTATACATTCAACATTCATACTATAGCCTATATATAACACTTCTTTAGTGCTCGCCAAGTAAGTACATAATAAGTACAGTACAGAGAGTATGCGATTTTGGACGCAGTTGTGTGCTCTGCATTGTGGGATGTTGTATACTACACAGACACACTCTTCTACAGAAAACATGCATACTGTACACGGCAGGCTGCAAAAAGGATTATGGTAGTATGCTAATCGGAACGCCGCCAGTTGAAAATAAATGTGATTATCTTTACATTTTTTATCGTATTTTATGCACAAATGTCTAAGCCAACATTTTGTCATTCCAAGAAGGTGAAAAATATACATACACATGCACATACACATACTCACAGATGCTCACTCTGGCTTTCAACTTCCCCTTGGGTGTTGGGATTCCTGGGATTCGCTGGTCCTCAATGGCTCTCATGGAATCCAATTCATATTTGACTATATACTGCCTCTCTGCCAGCGTCAGGAACTTCTTCATGTCATCTGCAGAAAGAGTGAATTTTTGGTATAACATTAGATGATAATAACAGATGCTAATGTTTACATGAAAATACAGACACTAAAATGTTATCAAAATAAAATACATAGTTAAAAGTATTCACCAGTGAAGAACATACTTTTTGTGACAATCAGCGGCTGGAGTGCCCGCATGAGCCACTGGAGGGCACTCTCTTCCTGCGTTATGTTCCACCATGGACTCATTATGTTTTATTATGGTTTCATCAGTTTCACCTGTGCACCCTCAGCAACCCTTTATCTGGACTGTTCTGTTCTGTGCCGATTTGTGAAGTATTGTTTTACCCAAACTCTGTCTTAGTTTGTACCTCTTGTTTCTCCGTGCTTGGACTTGATCTTTTGTGTTTGAACTTGGACTCTGATATAGTTTTGTGAACCTTTGCTGCCTGCCTCTGACCATTGCGTGTTTGACTACGATTCTGGATTGCCCTCGACATCTTTTTAGTTCTTGTCTGCTTGTTCTCAGTTTGTCATCTCCTTCAATAAATATCTGCGAATGGATCCGACCGCCTCAGCCTCTTTGTGACAGAATACTTCACCAAATCAGGATCCAGCAGATTACCGAACAACTCACCGCAAAATGGAACCAGCAGTTGCTCCAGCAGTCTCTCCCATAGTCGTCAGCAACCGGGCCCTGAGAGAATATCTCTCGGTAATGTTTCAAGTGAACCAGTCCGTCCAAAGCTATGCTAAGGACTTCCTCTCCATTTGCCATCTCGGAACGCTCGATGAAATCCAGCTCAGAGGCCTGTTTCGGAACGGGCTGGATTACCGGATCGCTCGATGGATGCCGAGCGACATTACCGATTGGACTCTGGACCGGTACATTGCTTAGGCTTGCTTCGTGGACTGTTCCATAGCCACGTTCCCGTCCTATCCGGCCGAGCCAGCTCCTCACTGCAGTCTTACCAAACCCGCGACTCACGTATGCCCACTCGAGCCCGTATTCCGCACTGGTCCTGTTGGATTTGCCAACCCGGAGACCGCGGAGGTTCCGCCGGCCGAGTCAAGTGAGTCAAGTGCCGCCGAGTCAAGTGAGTTAAGTGCCGCCGAGTCAAGTGAGTCAAGTGCCGCCGAGCCAAGTGAGTCAAGTCCCGAGTCAAGTGAGTCAAGTGAGTCAAGTCCCGAGTCAAGTGGGTCAAGTCCCGAGTCAAGTGAGTCAAGTCCCGAGTCAAGTGAATCTAGCCCCGAATCAAGTCCCGAGTCAAGTGAATCAAGTACTGTGTCAAGTGAGTCTACCGAGTCTACTGTGTCAAGTGAGTCTACTGTGTCAAGTGAGTCTACTGTGTCAAGTGAGTCTACCGAGTCTACTGTGTCAGGTGAGTCTACTGAGTCTACTGTGTCAAGTGGGTCTACTGAGTCTACTGTGTCAAGTGAGTCTACTGAGTCAAGTACGTCCAGTAGTGAATCTAGCCCAGTGAAGCGCCGTCGCAGAAGGAAGAGAGGGAGGACTCGTTTGGCTCGCCAGGCTCCGGAGGGCGTTCCCAGACTCCTTGCCCTGCCGGCCCCGCCTCTGCACCTCGCCCTGCCGTCCCCGCCTCTGCGTCTCGCCCTTCCGGGCCCGCCTCTGCGCCTCGCCCTTCCGGGCCCGCCTCTGCGACTCGCCCTGCCGGCGCCCTTCAAGCACCTTCCTCCCGTGGATTTTCCCAAGTATTTTTTTGGGGGGGGGGGGGGCAGGAGGTACCCTGTGAGGGCCTTGGGGGCTGCGTCTACATGGACCTTTGCTAGTAGGTACCCTGAGAGGGCCATGGGGGCGGCATCTACATGGACCTTTGCTCTACTGCCTACGTCTGAGATTCCTGGATTACTGGTTCCGGCTAGCCCAGTTAGGTGTGTTCGACTCCGTTCCCGTGTTCAGTGTGCTCCGCCCTGTTCTCCTGTCTGTTGTGCTCCGGCCTGGTTCCCTGCCAAGCATGCCCCGCCTGGGCTGCCTGCGAAGCTTGCTTCTCCGTGGTCCCGGGTCTTGCTCCTGTCTCCAGGTCCCCTGCCTCTCCACGGACCTGGCCCTCCATCCCATCCCCCGTTGACCTCCCCCCAGAGCTCTTAGGAGCGTCTGGAAGCCGCTCCTTAGAGGGGGGGTTATGTGACAATCAGCGGCTGGAGTGCCCGCATGAGCCACTGGAGGGCACTCTCTTCCTGCGTTATGTTCCACCATGGACTCATTATGTTTTATTATGGTTTCATCAGTTTCACCTGTGCACCCTCAGCAACCCTTTATCTGGACTGTTCTGTGCCCATTTGTGAAGTATTGTTTTACCCAAACTCTGTCTTAGTTTGTACCTCTTGTTTCTCCGTGCTTGGACTTGATCTTTTGTGTTTGAACTTGGACTCTGATATGGTTTTGTGAACCTTTGCTGCCTGCCTCTGACCATTGCGTGTTTGACTGCGATTCTGGATTGCCCTTGACATCTTTTTAGTTTCTGTCTGCTTGTTCTCAGTTTGTCATCTCCTTCAATAAATATCTGCGAATGGATCCGACCGCCTCAGCCTCTTCGTGACACTTTTAGTGCATAGTAGAAATGTGCAAATTGAGATGGAGTCAATGTCAGTGAGCAAGCACGATCTTGAGTGTATTATTTGATTTATTGTGTAGCCTACTGTGTGTCCTCACCAATGTTGCAAAAGTTGTCACGGTCATCAAAGGAGAAGGCCGTCATGTTTCCATCTTGATAGGTTTTGCAGAGGCCAAGGTCCTCAGTCACCCTAAGAAGGGTACATCGAGGGGCAGCCACAACTATCATGTCCCCTTTCATGTCCTCTCCGGGGTGAACTAACAGTTGAGCCCCTAAACAACAAGGAAGAAGGTTAAGTTATAAAAGTTGAGTTATTGCAAATGCAATGCCCGTGCAAAATCTGTTTTTAGTAATTGTTGGTTTGGTATGTTTGAGTTGCTGAATAGCCTATGCTACTATTACACAGGAGCCTTAACTCTGAGAAAACAATAATGTTAAGCGCACCAGAATAAAATATAATATTCAGAATTAAACAGTGTAGCTGACTTACAGATTCAGTTAACATCCACAAATGAATAAGTGCAACGAGGTTCAGACCTTGGCTGGAGCAGCTACACAGTGAACTCTGAGAAAACGCTATACGCTTGAGCAAACAGTTGGTGAATAGGCTACTACAATGGCCGTGAATAAAATATAACATTCAGATATTTTTAAAGCACAACCCTCTAATGTCAGAATGTTTATTTTGGGGAGTGGCCACTCAGTCTGCAGTGTAAGAGGGGGAATGGCCAGCGGCTAGAGCGGCAAAAGCCAATGTGTGCTTCTTTCACCAATATATTTAACGATATCTTTTGCATTTCTAATCCAAGCAACGTCAAACTTGGCAAACAAACTTGGTTTCAAACAAAACCTAGTGTAAGTGCAGTGCCAAGTTTGCACTACCTAGTGTGCACTAAACCTAGTTTGCACTACCTAGTGTGCACTAAACCTAGTGTGCACTACCTAGTGTACTTAATCTAGTGTACACTACCTAGTGTACTTCATCTAGTGTACACTACCTAGTGTACTTTAAGTAGTGTACACTACCTAGTGTACTTCATCTAGTGTACACTACCTAGTGAACTTCACATAGTGTACACTGCCTAGTGTACTTCATCTAGTGTACTTCACCTAGTGTACACTACCTAGTGTACTTCATCTAGTGTACTTCACCTAGTGTACTTCACCTAGTGTACACTACCTAGTGTACACTACCTAGTGTACTTCACCTAGTGTACACTACCTAGTGTACTTCATCTAGTGTACACTACCTAGTGTACTTCACCTAGTGCACACTACCTATTGTTGTCTTTAGATACAGGAAGAAGAATCGGAAATGACACATTTCGGAAATTGCATCTTAAGGTTGTCCGTACGTCCAGACGCTAACCGCGCGTCGCCGTTTACATCGGGATATTGCCAATTGATTACAAATTCCATGTATACAGGAGTAACTCTCTCTGCATCCGTTTACGGATGTAAACGGGTTATTCCGAATGTTTCAGAAACCCGAATAGTGACCTTAACCCGACCATAACCCGAATACCGTAAAACTTCAAATAGTAGCCCGGGCTTTTATTTTCCCAAATCGTCGAACTGCACCGGCTTGTATTTGAGACAGGCGTCTATATGAGACCGGCCTTTATAATTTAGTGTTGATATTGTTCATTGACTGTAGGCCTAGAGTCTCTAATCTCTAAAAATCTCCAAATGCTCCTCGTGAAACTGCGGTCTTCCGACCTTTTACTATCGTGTCCATTGATTTTGATTAATATGCGCGAGGGAGAGAGAGAGCAGGGCAGCGCTCGTGTTGTTTGAAGACGTGAGAGTGCGCGCGCGCGGCCGGAGCGCTCTCTCTGCTCGTTATGCGCCCTGTCAAGCGCAGCAGTCATTCTATTCTACATCACTCACCGATCAAAAAAGGCTTTGGTGGGACAAAAATTTGCTTTGGGGGCCGCCCAAAAAGCGGACGATCTGACGGGTTTTAGAAGATTAAATACAAACCGAAACTAAAAAACAGACCCGGCCTCTATTTGAGACCGGCTTTTATTTACCCAAACCTGCAGCCACACCCGGCGTGTAAAAGAGACAGGCGTCTATTTGGGACTCGGCTATTATTTGAAGTTTTACGGTATTGACAGCTTGTACACGTAGTCAGTGACTATCTCGGGCTACATAGACTTTTGTGTGAGTGCGGTCATTCCAACTAAGACCATCAAGGTGTACCCAAACAATAAACCATGGGTGACGAAGGAACTAAAGGACACACTAAATGAGAGAAAGAGAGTCTTCGCTTCAGGAAGCTTACAGAATAGAAAAGATGCAAAGGAAGGTCAATAAGGAGATCTATAAGGCCAGGTGTCAGTACAAGGACAAGGTACAGAGTACCCTGGCTATGGGGAATTCAAGGGCTGCATGGACAGGTATAAAGTTGATGGCCAATGCCCCATTTAAGACAGGGGAAAAAATGTACATTATGGATGACACAGCATCCTTGTGTGTTTGAGAGGACTAACGTACGGAAAAGCCCGGGGCCGGATAACATTGGAGGCAGAGTGCTGAAGCACTGTGCGGCCCAATTAAGTGGAATTTTTTGTTCCCTCTTCCAGCGCTCAATGGACACCCAGTTGGTTCCACTGCTATGGAAAACAGCAGTTGTGACCCCCCTTCCCAAAGTCTCCCATCCATCCGCATCCAAGGATTATAGGCCCATCGCCCTCACCTCTCTTTTAGTTAAATCACTTGAGCGGATCATTCCACACATCATGAACTCTTGTAGACATGCCCTTGACCCTCTACAATTTGCCTATAGATTTGGGAGAGAGACGGACATTGCCATTGTAGTACTTTTAAATTATCTTTATAAACACCTGGAAGGTTGTAAAACACATGCTCGCGTTTTATTTGCAGAATTTTCATCAGCATTCAATACAATTCACCCACAAATTTTAGCAAACAGACTTAGAAGAGAATTTCCAGCTAAACTCAAGTCAACACTAATTAAATGGATCTTGGATTTCCTGAGTGGGCGGCCACAAAGAGTAAGGGTGGGGAACATATTATCTGGGGTCTGCTTCACTTCAATTGGGACACCACAAGGTAGCGTCTTGTCACCACTACTATATATTGTACACTGACTGTTGTTGCAGTAGTTACCAAGGGCGTCATATAATTAAATTTGCAGATGATACTGCTGTGATTAGTTTACTGGAGCTAGATGAAACTGAACATGGTCCAGTGTTGCATGAATTTGCTGACCGGTGTGAAGCTTCCCAGTTGCATTTGAATAGTGTACACTAGATGAAGTACACTAGGTGAAGTACAGCTAGGTAGTGTACACTAGATGAAGTACACTAGGTGATGTACACTGGGTAGTGTACACTAGGTGAAGTACACTAGGTGAAGTACACTAGGTAGTGTACACTAGGTGAAGTACACTAGATGAAGTACACTAGGTAGTGTACACTAGATGAAGTACACTAGGTAGTGTACACTAGGTGAAGTACACTAGATAAAGTACACTAGGTAGTGTACACTAGGTGAAGTACACTAGGTGAAGTACACTAGGTAGTGTACACTAGATGAAGTACAATAGGTAGTGTACACTAGGTGAAGTACACAGTGTACACTAGGTAGAATACGTCCAAGACCAAAGAGTTGGTCTTTGATTTTGGACATGGGGCGCCCTCACCCTCTCCGACTCTGATAAAAGGAGAGGAGATAGAGATGGTGACGTTGTACAAATATCTCGGTCTTATCATTGACCATAAATTAACCTGGGATCAGTGTGCTGATGCCGTTTTTAAAAGGGCCAACAACGTTTGTATTTTCTTAGGAAACTTAATTATTTTAATGTTGACAACAAAATTCTGACTCTTTTTTTATAAGTCCTTTATTGAGAGTATTCTCTCTTACTGTATTGTATGCTGGTAGGGACATTCAAAATCACCCACAGGAACAAATTGGGAAAGATTGTTAAAACCTGTGGAAAAAAATAATTAGCCGCGTTTCCACTGTCGGGCCAGTGCTAGGCCAGGGCTTTAAACGGGCCGTGCCGGGCTAATAGCCTCGGGCCAGTAGCACCTGGCCTGCGTTTCCACTGTCGGGCCAGAAACTCCACAGCGCGTCACTAAAACACGCCCGCAACACGCCTCTCTGGAACAACGTCACACTAACCCATCATTTCACCAACAAATGGAAGTTTTATCAGAAAACTAATCAGAAAGAAATCACTGGAAACAGCGTGCATCGCAAAACAAACGTGATAAAAGCGGCCGTTTGCTGGCATTTTTGTTGTTTACTTGAATATTTAAAACCCAAGCATCGATGTTTTACCACAGGTTTACAATAAAAAGTGATACATTGATCATAATGAATTAATTTATGTCAAAATTGCACATTAGTCACACAGAAATAAATGACCGTTAACGTTAGGTCTATTTCACAAAAGAAAGAGGACACACTTACATTATTCAGTCGAGGCTGTTTCTGTTTATTGGTAGTTACAGGACATTTATCACATTTAGAAACAATGATAATTTCTACAAATAATGTTATATGCCACCAAAAATACGACCTGAGGAGCGTTAGCACAGTCTCGACTCCCAGTAGCTACAGATATATTTTCAGTCAGAGAAACAGGAAGCTCCCGAAAAAAAGTAGAGTCCGGTATAAAGAGACTACTATGTAGTATATGTAGGCTACTGACAGATAAAATAAAAACATGATTGTGATAGCCTTTATGATTGGTCTGACTTCTTCAAGCGTTCACCATGTTTTTTTACTATGCGTATCTTCAAGCGTTTACTATGTTTACTATGGTAATGGTTAGCGCGCATAGTCTTTTGCATCGCGTATAAATATTTCTACCTTATACGGTGATCAGAATCCACATCAGATCACAAACAGAAGGCATTAAAACATGAAAGTGAGTTAAATTATTTTAAAAGTCTTTAATGCTGACAGAATCATTCGGCGCTCCTGTCTCTCGACTCAGGTAATCCCCGCCTCTGTTCGTAACCACTCCTCTAGCCCGAGCTGGCCCGCTTTGGCCCAAGGTATTCGACGGGCCAGAAATCCTGGCCGTTGGCCCCGAGTAAGCCCCGATCAAGCCCCGGAAGTGACAGTGGAAACGCGACTGGCCCTGGCACGCACTAGCACGGCCCGGCCCTGGCCCGGCAGTGGAAACGCGGCTAATGGTACCAAGCAGGGCCGGATTATCCATAGACGGGATTGGGCGAGTGCCCTAGGGCACCAGCCAATAGGGGGGCACCAAATGATTAAGAGAATGACTAAACCTTTAAAATAGTTTTCATGTTTTGTATATATTATTTTTCTGGAAAAGATTCAGATATAAAATGAACAGTTATTGATAACATATAGAGAGAATATAAAATATGCATATAAAGAATTGCGATTGGGTCAGGTCACAGTGTAGCCTATTTCTTCGAAATGAAGAAAAGTCACAGAGACATCGATCGGCATCACCAGCAGAAGCCACTAGCAGCGAAAAATGCCTCAACCGATACTCAAGCAGCAGCTAATGTTGTGAGCAAAGGCGGTAGCCTAACACAAAGTCTAGAAAAAGTTGTTCTGCTAAAGGTAAGGCTTATTTACCATTATTTCTGGGCAAATAGGCTGTATGTGACGCTGTTGTCGATTTGAAATTTGGAACGGTTTTCTCTTTTAGCTGGTTGCTTAGTTAGAGATGCTTACATGCATAACTTTTGTTTCAATCGGACTGAATTCATTCCGATCGATAAATCTGAATGTTATGTTTACATGAACGCTAAACGTGATCGAGTTATGATGTGCGCGTTTATACGCAATTGCTTAAAATCGGAAGAGGTAACGTAGGCTATACTGTGCATACCATCTCCTATACATTGGTTCTTTATTTGTTTTAAACAGCAGGCTCAATATTTATCCATATCTGGTCATAATTTGGGGACAATGAGCACATGAACCGTTGTTGTACCGCGTTGCTTATATTTATCAGTAAAATGCCCCTCCCTTCTCGCGCCCAAAACCAGTCGTAATCCGAAAAATGACTGGTGGGACATTGTCCTGCTCCACTTCACAGACGCTGAGTGAAAGGAGAATTTAAAAATGACGGGACACTTGATTTTATGACACTTTATTCAACAGAAGAACATTTCGAGCGTCATACGTCATTACGCTATTTCAACGTCATTGCACATACGCAGTCCTTTCAGTTTCGCTTTTTAATCAAGGGGGTAATCCATCGACCGGAAGTTGAAGTCGGCCGGGTGCCGCCATCTTGTAGCAGAACTTCACTTGCGTTAGCATTTCCATTGACTCCCATTCATTTTGGCGTCACTTTGACAGCGAATAACTTTACATCTGAGGCGTTTAAAGACTCCATTTGTCCATTATTTATTTCTAAAGAAACACGACAATGTATAAAAGGCTCCATTACCTTCTATGTTACGTTATGGCCCCGTAGAAACAGATTTAGTAAAAATAGGCTAATGATTGCGTCATAACCACTCGACTCTCTGTCGCGCTGTACAGAAATTACCGTATAGACAGAAGTAGAAACTCGCGCGCAATCGGGGGGACGTCGAGGCATAAAGTCAAGGGAGAAGCCCATAGAGAGTTGTAAAGCTGCTCCTGCTGCGAGCTCATGGACAGCTAATACTCACGATCTCCGGCTCTGCAAGTTTCGGAAGGGAATGATTCAGATTCCTCTTGGCACAGCTACTAGAAGATTAACGTCTGTCAGACAGGTTGCTCACGTCATCAAGCTTAGTTTGAGTCGGTTTGAGTCTGCGCGTCAGGAACGGAAGTGCTCAAAAATCGCTTAAAATGGGCTTCAACTGTCTCAACTGAGTTCCAATGAGATGGCTCTGTCCATTTCTTTTACTGTCTATGTTTTTAATCCGAATAAAAAAAAAGGAAAAACCCACCCCTTTCAATCCGATCGAAATTTGATTCCGATCGAGCTCAATCGGATCAATAAAGGTTGAATAAAAGCTTTTCAGTTCGATTGAGCCGTCAATCCGATTACTAATGGATTTGGTTGCATTTAAATGTTTTGCTGCTGTGCGTCTCTGTGGTGCTGAATTTAGCTGATTCTTGGGCTTGCTTATTTGGTATATGGTTTTTTTTAGACATAAGGTTTTGCATGTAGTCCTCATAGCCTACATGCCATTTATGATGGAAATAAAGATATTTAGGATGACATGTTCATGTTGCACTAGCATGTGAGTTGTATGGGGTGGGGGTGGGGGGCACTTAAAATGTGGTCACCCTAGGGCACTACACTGTGTTAATCCGGGCCTGGTACCAAGTAGCCTACCAACTAGTATATCAGACCAGATTGGCACAGAAGGCAGACAAGGTTTGTATGGATACAACACATCCACTTTCAGTGGAGTTCAAGCCGCTATCCCTTCTGGTCGTAGATATAATTAACCAAATGGGAACCTGCTACCTGATAAGAACGCGCTTCTTATCAGGTTCCCATTTGGTTATTTTTTGAGAACTAACTAATGACGTTCAAGGCAAGTTCTTTTTAGGATTAATTTTTTGCAACCATAAAAAACTTTCCGAGAACGCGTTAATGATCAGATAAATCCAACTTTATGGCTAAAATGTTAAGCCAGGGTTAAGCATAACAATCATAAATTTGTGGGTCTCTGATCTCCACGCGCTTCTCCAGCACGCGCTTTCTCTTGTCTTTCACAGAAAACCGCGCACTCGCGTAATTTAACGGTCATTTCGTTTTAGTGCCTGACTGACTGTCTGTCGTTTATCGATCTTGACACCCTTATTGAAGGGAACGGACCAAAAGAAGCATGTCCCGCTCAACTGTGCAATTCAGTGGTAAGAAATAAATAGCCTATAGGCTACTGATATCCAAAAGCTGTTATTTGGTGCTGAAGAAAATTCTGGGTAGCCTAACGTTACCCCGTGAAATAGCCTATAGCCCAAATCTTACATATCAATGGACCAAATTAATCTTATTTAATGTTCCATATGATGTTTGTTGTGGATTATTTCTATTAATTAAGCAATAGATAAATATCCTACAAGATATGGTTTACTGTTTATAGGCGCCCATACATCTTCCATTCTGCTTTTTACGTCGCGGGTGTGCTGGATGATTGCTGACGTAGGCTAACTTAGGCCTACAGCGGGGTAACGTAAAATTCACAAAATCTTATCAAAACTTTCCACAAGTCAGCGGGAGACTGTCTTCTGGCAGCGAGAGAAAATAAGCGGAAACACAACCTCCTTGACCCTGACTAACTAACGTTAACGTTATGTAAACTAAGTAACTAACCCCGCGTTAGGTTGTGCCCCGCGCTCCCTGTAGCTAGTTTTGCAGATGTGAAACTGCAGGGCAGCGCTGACAACAGGTTTCTGTGCGTGTGAATATGAAAAAGTTTTCTCCTCACCTCCAGCCTTCACAGGTGCAGATATCATGGACATGATCCACTGTTTGGTGATGGGCTGGACACTCTCAGCCAGCTGGATCAGAACCAAAGGCTCTATGTGGCTGGAGATACAGCAGGGGCAACTGACCCGGGACCAGGAGCTGGGCCCTGTCACCTTGGTCAGGGTTGAAAATTCCCCTTGAGGTTCCTTCTGGGATGTCATGGTGTCCCTGTGGAACTGTAACCCATGAGAGAGTATGTCTGTTTTTATTTTTATTTTCGAAGTATCTCACTGTGTTCTCCATTTTACTGTATATTAGTCTGCATTTTCCAAAAGTCGAGCACAAAAAAGAGCCTGAAACTTTAGTATTATTATTAATTATTACAATAAATTATAATATTGTTATTAAAACTATATAAACTATAATATTATTACTAAATAGTACTGTATATAAGTAAATATAACAATGCATATGTATTTTAAAATGATATATTATATAATATATATAAATATTTGTTTGTTGAGAAAAGAACAGTTTGCTGAGTGTGAACGTTTGTTTTCAAAAACTGGGTCTAAATATAGGCCATTTAAAAACTCTGATTTGAGTGAATTTGCTATTTAATAAACATATTTATAATGTTTGAATTTATTATATTTTAATGTAATTTTTTTAATTATATTTAAAATGTATAATATATATATATACATTTATTATATTTAAAATGTTAAAAATTAAAAATCAATATTAAGTCATAAAAATACTTAAATAGTTTGGGTTGTTTACATTAAAGTACATATTGATAAAATAATCTGAAAAAGTATGACAGTTGTGGGATTTTAATTGTTAGATATAGTTAAAAAAAAGTCAAGACCTCTGAGGACAAAATCAAAATTTTAAGGGGGTATACCGACATTTGCAAGAGATACTTTTCATGTTATGTTAATTTATATCATATTATACTTAATCAAATAATAGTTTTGTCGCTCTAATGTTTTAAAAACATCTTGAGCCATTTGTGGAAAGTGCTTATAAAGAATGGTCTATAAAGATTAAAAAATTATTACAACTGAGCCAAGAGATTAAAGTCGAAACTATATAGGCTATAAAGAGGCATACATCTACAGTTCATTCAAATCACCTCCAGTAAATGCAAACACGTGGGAGTGCATGAGCTAGCAGATATCTGGCTTCCTGAAAGCCTAGACAACAGACAAGCTTAAACAAAACAAAACATCTTTTAGAGGTGTCATGTACTAAACTACATCATTCTATACTAATAGAGAGAAAAGTAGCATTACTTAAGGACTGAATGCACCAAGTACTGTCAAATAAGGTCATATCCTCTGTCTGCAGCCTTTGTTTACAATGCCAAAATAGCTAAAGTTGTACGTTCAACTCAGATGAGAGTGAAACTAAAAAATAAACAGAAAGAGAGCAAGTTACAGAGTGAGAGAGGGCACGGAAAAGGAAATGGAAAGGAGACAGTTCTGCAGGATACCTATCAACGGCAGGACCTTCTCTCGGTGCGCTTGTGTGTGTTGTTGATGTTCACAACCCTTCCAGTGTCCTGTTTAAAACCAACTGAAGTGTTAAAACTCACACACAGACACTGAAACACGAAACACTACGAGGATGGGTTGTGACCACGCTCACCCTGTTCAGACCCAATCCATTCGATGGTTTACTAGGAGAGAACAGGAATGCAGCAGAACGTTTCTCACTTTCTCCTCCCAGCCTTTAGGGTGTGGAGGGATATTTTCATTTTTTTTCTGACGGTGACTGCATTTCTGCTGTCCGTGTGCACATCTGGGTCCTATTGCCTGCCATGTTTGTTTTGGAAAATAGCATGTGGCTATAGTCTGTTGGAGACTTTAAATGTATAGTATGTCAGAAAATATGACCAATACGCACAATGCACATATGAGCATGTGCAGTGGACTACATGGAGTAATTTAGTTTCTATTTTTTTCTAATTTATTTTTCTATAGCTATATTATTATAATTTATTATTATGTGCTCTGTGTCTGTCCTTGGACCTTTATGTGTAAATATTACCTGTGCTTTATTTTGTACTTTTGTACTTATGTTATTCATTTTTGGTCATTTTCTATTTAATTTTTGTTTTCATTAACACTAGTCACTACTAGCACTTTTTTCTTCTTCTCCAGAACTGCTTTATAGTCTAATTGAATTTCATAATTGGTCAACTTTACACAGTCATTGAATTGAACTAAATTAATACTGAACTGACCTCAGCTGAACAATAACACTTGACTTTTTAGAGCTGCTTTATAGCAGAATTGAATTATGTTTGCACAATTGATCATTATTTCCTTTTTATTACTGTAAAGCTGCTTTGAAACAATCTGTATTGTATAAAGAGCTATAAATAAAGGTGACTTGACTAGCATATTCACTGTAATATCTTCATTAATTCACTTCCTTTTCAAAGCAAAAGTTAATGACACAGTTGTGACATGACAAAATGATATCCTGGAAATGCATGCGCATTTACTAGCTACTTTTTCAAGTATCAGGCCGTGTTCATTGTTATTACACTACTTAAACCACAGAGTGGGTGGAGACATAAGACTGGATGAACAGGATTGTTGGCTTTGTAAATAGATTCATGCAAATGATCTGAACAGCTAACAGTCGGCAACTCTTTCTGTACATGAATGAACAAAGCTGTATATGTGCGTGGCTCAGTGGGTAGAGGTCACTGGTTCGAGTCTCAGCTGAGCCAGGAGGCATTTCTGTGTGGAGTTTGCATGTTCTCCCTTCCCTGTCTGATTGAGTTTCCTCCGGTTTCCCCCACAATCCAAAAATATGCAGTAGGTGCATTGGAGTCGCTAAATTGTCTGTCGGTGTGAATACGTGTGTGTGTGTGTGTGTGTGTGTGTGTGTGTGAGAGAGAGAGAGAGAGAGAGAGAGAGTCCCAAGCCATGTAATGGGGAGGGTTGGGGAAAGACCTGGCGGCCTACCCCGTATAATCATCAGCAACAAAACTCATGGACAGCTTATGCATGAGATGCCCCATAGAATCACCAAGATATACACACACACACACACACAAAAGATTGGGATTCAGTAAGTTTTTAAAGAAAAGGCTTTTAGTTCAGCAAGGACATGTTAAATAGATCAAAAGTGACAGTAAAACCATGTTACAAAAATTCTTCTTTTGAACTTAATATTCATTAAAGAATCATCATACATAGATCACAGCTTCTGCAAATATATTTAGCAGCTCAACATTATATGGAAATGTTTATTGAGCATCAAATCAGCATATTAGAATGATTTCTGAAGGATCATCTGACACATGTGAAGACTGGAGTAATGATGCTGAAAATTCTAAATTACAATACTTTAAAATACAAAACATCTATTTTAAATTGTAAAAAGATTTCATTATATTACTGTTTTTACTGTATTTACTGTATTTTTGATCAAATAAATACAGCCTTGGTGAGCAGAAGAGACTTCTTTCAAAAATATTACAAATTACCTCCAAACTTTTGAATAGTAGTGTATATGTACATTTAATATAACGCATTTTGAGTTTCAGGATATTACATTGAATATAACTTTGACATTATGTTTTTTGTGCAAATCTAACGGCTAATAAAAAACAATTCAAGTAAAAACACCACCAGATTTCCTCAGAAATATACATACGTTTATTTACAAATACAATTGCATTTGCATAGAAATTTAAAAATCCAAAAATAAAAATACATAGTAGTAAACAGATTTATTAGAGGCATTTGTAGCTAAAACAATTTGTCTGAATTAAAAGCTCCCATTGTGATTTCAAGTCAACAGATAAATATAGATCTCTGCTAACTTTCTTCAACTGAGAGCATTCTCCTATGACATGGGATCTGTCCATGTAAGCTCAGGAGGGCGTCACAGTTACAAAATAATCACAATTCATTACAATGTCCATTTGTGTTTTATTAGTTTCGTTGTGCCATTCAATCACGTTATGAAGAAAAGCCCTATTCAAATGTCCTTCCATGACTTTTGGCTGAAACGTCAAACCAATAACGCAATCTAATTGGTTAGGAAGGAGAAGGACGGTAGGGAAGGCACATCGGGATCATTTTTCCTTAAATATATCATATATATTTCATCTTTATCTTCATATATAAATTCAAGAACAAACCAGGATAAGGTGGCCTCTTACCAAGAAATTAGGAAATCGATGAACGTACCATTAATTACACTCAAAATGACTGTATGAAGATGAGTTAAATGTGGCAACAGCTTTTTCTGGGAAATGTCCCATTATTTCAACATCATTAAACAGTGTCAAGACAAAGGCAGGGGTTAAAACGAGCAGGGAAACAATACAAAAGTGTCCGAAATCTGCCGTATGAACGGATGAGAGATCAGCCGAGGATGTTCTCGCTCTCCTGACGCCTGGTCAGATGCAACAGATCGTCACACCAGATGGAATGGTTGCGCCGGCTAGATCTACAATGACGACAGAGGATTTCTATAGACCCTCCACCCTATGACAGCTACGTACGGCTGGCAACCCTCACCGACAGGAGAGGCCCGTGCACCCCGCTTCATGCCCTCACCACCAGTTCAAAGTGCCTAATCGTCCCCATGTGTTAGTCAGGAGAACCAAAAGCCAACTTCAATCCTCAATAACTTAATATCTCACTGGATATGTAACATATTACTCGAGGAGCAGCTACTTGTGACATCCTCCGGATCACGATATTAGTAAGTCAATTGGCAAAAAAAAAAAAAACACCTCAAAGTGGGTGAGACGAGACAGAAAAGCAAGATCACCAGAGCAGCATGAAACATCATAATGAGGGCGGAGCAAAGTTTTGACAGACAGCTGGGGGAAACATCAACACTGAGAAGAATTAAAGCATCTGAGACTTTCCTGAGTTTTCCTTAGTGGCAATGGCTCACGCGGCCACCGAAAGGACCTCCTTCTGCTTGCCTTCAGCGTCTTAACACTACAACTAAGAATTCATTTCCACTCGCACCTTCACACACTGTCCCACACTTACCGGTCCCTGTCTATACCTCTCCTAACATTACATGGATGGGCAAAAACGGAGTTTGATATTGTGGTGCCTCTAATAAAGACATTTACAGATTTCATCCAACGCTTGATTCATCAGTACATTCATACACATTATATAAATATTTATATAGCTTGACATTCTGTGATTCTCTAGGTTTCAGGCACTCCCCCTTCTCGAAAAAATGTATGACGATGATGATGAAGAAGCTAAGACTATGGCTGGTAGCAGCAGCAGGGTAAGACACTGTATCTAACATGGTGACAGAAGGAGAATGCAGAAGGGAGAGGCTTATGGGAGTTTGTTGGGGGCATTTTGATTTGGTCATTGTGGCAAAAAAGGGATCTTCTAAAACGTCTGCTCTGGGATGACTGTGTTGAAGGGGTGGTCCCAGAATCTGGTGGTGATTCCAAAACCTGGAGAAAATTCAGAATAAACAGAAGCTTTTAAAAAGAAGATAAAACGGTTAAAAAAGCAGGTTAAACGAAATAACTAAATTAAATAAAAAATTTGTTATGTTACATATTAATATTAAATATTATAGAATAAATATTAACTCTTTCCCCGCCAGCGTTTAAAAAAAAGAAGATTCTATACTCTTTCAGAAGATGCATAATAGCGCCCCCTACCGTATAACATTGAAAACGTGGAAAGCCGGCACTGGCGGGGAAAGAGTTAATCCATTTATAAATATTAAATGTCACCCTGAGGACTTCTGAACCTTTTTTACAAACAACCTGGATGGCTTACTTGAACTCTTATATATATCTTATAAGGAAATATAACTTTTATAAAAAATAATATATATATATATATATATATATATATATATATATATAAATAAGTGATACATTTTTTTTTTTTTTTTTTAAGTGTAATTTTCTGTGACAACAATATAGTTTCTCTGTGCCGTTATCGTTATAGCTGTGGTGGGAACTCTGCTATTCTTTAATACTGAGAAAGATTTTTAGAACTAAATCTCTGTCGTTATCTTTATAGTCATCGTCCTTGGTGTGAACAGGCCTTTAATATTTCAAATGTAAACGTATTATTTAAAATGTATTTAATATAACTGGTCTTAACTTGCATAAAATACAGCCACTTTATCCACTATTTTGTAGAGAGATGCTCTAATGCCTCAAATATTACGTCCTCACCTGCCCTTTGGTGTTCAAAGTGGTGTTTGACATGGTACGCTTTCAGCCCATACAAGTAGGAGTCTTTCCGTGGCGAGCCGTAGTGCAGGTAGTAGTGGATCATGTCGTAGACCACATATCCACACATACCCCCAACAAACAGGGAGGTTCCCAATCCCTCAGACATCAGCTGCATGAGTATCAGGTAAAATGCGCCAGCGGCGATGGCGGCCAAACTCGGAGGAAACACCAGACGAGAGCCGTCAAACGGGGACTGATGGGCAAGAAAAGAGAATTTGGTGGTTTTCATCAATAGCCCCTTTCACACATACAGCCTTTACTGGTAAATTACCGGTGAGAGATCATGTGTGAACAGGACCTTTTCAGAAGATACCAGTAAAGTTGTAATATTACCAGTAAATTACCGTTATGATGCTGTGAGTGAAAAAAGAATGAAGATTACCGGTATGAGCATGTACGAAGTCAGAACCCGCTGACAGTCTGCTTTGGCCAATCATAAAGTTCTTATGGAGATGACACGTTTACGCCGTGCTGTTTACAGTAAGCTCCGCTGC